ATAGCCCGGACGGCTTGGCCTTCAACGCGCCAATCATGCGTCGACAGTGGCGACATTCGTGTTCGCTAGTCGGTTAGCCGCAAGATCCTACGAAAGGCTAGCCAAGCTCGCTTGGTACTACCATGCGAACCCCCGGAACACGAAGTTTCTATCTGGAGGATCAAGACTTCGACGTTCCAGCGCACCGTGACTCTCGCTTGCTGGAGGCGCGCACGAGGACAACTCTGGAGCGCACCCACAACGCTCCTCGTGAGGCTGCAGCACACCCTGGCAGACATCTGCAAGACAAGCGAGCATAGCAAGAGCTGTCTCGTGATAATGCGGAGAGGCTGTCTCCTGCCTCCTGCTGTGCTCCTGCTGTGCATACGGAGACCAAGCTTCGAGCCGTTCGTGTCTCGAGACCCACCGAGCGGCATGCCATGTGCTATTGAATTCTCGTGTTGCATTTTGCATCCCAACGATGACATGCGACAATGTCATTGTCAGGACGACCGCGGAGCAACGTCCCGATCCAAGATCCGGTGACGGTGGCCCACTTCCAAATGATAAAGCAAAATTGATGAAGTCAATCAGCGTTGATTTGCGCTGTTCATTATTTCACCAGCAGGCACAATGAAGACCTGCTTCTCAACATGTAGCAGAGTGGTTCATTGAATAATCCATCTTTAACGAGAGAAGGACACAATTTTGCGTACGCCCGTGGTTGCATGTCCTGTCAAACTGTGCAGGATCATCAAACTGTTGTCGGCTGTTTTAGGCCTACCAGAGGTACTTCAGGCACTGAAGGCAGCTTTGCAGTACTCGTATGGGCAATATCCTCCCAGGCTCGGTTCGCAGCGTTCTCAGCGACATGATCTCGAAACAACCTATCGCGGATGCCAATTGAACAACGGACGCTGCGTTTTTCCTTTTCAAATACGAGTTGGAACTGGTACAAGCACCAGGGTTGCGTAGCTGGCGCACGAAGATTGGCCGTTCAAAATTATGCTTCCAATAGTTTGTTCCTTTGTTGCTGGTATCTGGCCCGTCAAGCGGAGCATGGCACCTGATGTCAATGCTGAATATTACATCTTGTCGGCACACTGTGCGCACCGGGATCCAATATTGGCTGACTCGTCAGGGTTACAACATCCCGCATGTGCTGCTCTGCTCTGCTCATCAGGCTTCTGCGAGTAGCTTCGCAAGGCGGCATGTTTTGCTTTTGGCACCATGAGGTTGGGTGTAAATATCCTTGTCGTGGACTGCTCGAGATCCATGGCGCGTTGAGGTGCTGACTGCTGATGAGACAGTGAGACTTGCAGCAGAAGTCTGCGACAGGCACTATTGTTTGCAGGCACGAAATAGCGCATCGGCATCCATCAGTACACAACGTCGTGGTGCCATAGCTTCCACAGTACTGTATCACTGACAGGACCGGGGACATCGCTGGCCTGGGGGCGACGGATGCTCGGACTCCGATGTGGTATGTTAGCGCTCCATCCGTCTACACTGACAGCTGCAGCCAGTGCGCCAGGTCGAAAAGGCCTTCCTCTTGCTGTATTGTTCGACACAAGTACCGAAAGTGCGCAGTGAGCAGGACTGTTGGCAGAAGAGTCCAGCAGAGAAGGCCAGGTCCAGAGCGGCCATTGCACAACCCGGTCAAAGTTTCGAGCCGGAGCTGACCGGATCAATTCGTCGCGGCTGAGAGCTCGGCCGGTTGTTCGGGTGGGTCGAAGAAGACGTGCTTCACTTGCCGGCCGCGGTTTCGTGTCGCAGCAACGTCCTGGTCTTCGCACGAATGCGATGCGCTGCGACTGTCGTGACGAGGGAAGTGTTGTCGGAATAGAGTGCGTCGTGCCTTCATTTTAAAGTGATTAGTTAGCCTCCAGGCGTGGCGCAACGAGGCTGGCTGAAATCACGCCAAGAAAGAACGTTGTGCAACAGCGTACGACTGCCAGATTGGGTCAATGCAGGAACCACTTCACCGACTTCACCACGTCCACTTTCTGCGAAGCACCAAGCGACCGCGCCGCGCCTTCGCCAGATCTTGCCCCGCAGCAACATCATCAGCATTTAAGAGTCGAGGAGGACGCCGCCAGGATGCCGTCCAGCTTCAAAACAACCCAAAACATGCTCGGCTCTACCTTGAAGCGAGCAATGTCCTGTGAACTTCCAACCTCTTCAATTGCCCAACATCACACCACTCATGACTGGGTGGTCAGCCGATAGCGACAAGAGGCCATCGTACTCCACCATGCAGCTCATACAACGGGCGATCATGCAGTCCGTAAACCGCATACTTCAGCCAGCAGAAATGCGCGACTGGATCACCGACCGCTTAGCATTCCATAGGTCCCGATTGGACATGGCTTTTGCCGGAATAACAGCCATTCTGTCGACAGCGAGTTTCACTTTTTTGTAGGTGCTCCACTCGTGGAAACACGAATCTCCTGGCTGGTCAATACAGTACGACAAGCAGCAGGAGGTTTGTAAAGGAGCGTCGACAATTGTTGGAGTAGAAGGCGACATATTTTTGAGCACGGATCACGGTACATGTTTTCGGTCAACGCCTATCGTGGCCCATGACTTATCATTCAGCTCCCTCATACACCGTGGCTGATGCTTCGACCGAATGTCCTGACTTGATGCAACTCCCGTCCGAATATTCACTGAACAACAGGAAATAACCATGCAGTCGCGAGATACCGCTATGCTGGGCCTTTTTGTAGCGAGGAAAGTCTGGTCGGGCCATACTTACTTCTGTGGAGATCATCAGGTGGATTGCTGAACATTTTGCGTACCACCGTGCAGAGGAGAACGCTCTTGAAGCATGGGTCGAGAGCACATCGATGTCAAACCGGAAATTTGTTCGACTTCCGGAGAACAACGCCAGACCTGGTGACTCGTGGTCCACTCATCATACGGATTTCGCTCGCATCATTGCAGGTGTGGACAGGTCGCTAGACAAGATCTAGCAGAAGCCTGAGCACGAAGCCTCTCTATTATCTGGTCTTGGGAAATCAAAACGAAATCTGAGCCCACTGCAAAAGCATCTTCTGCGAACATTGCAAAAGCATGTACATGCGATCAACGAGACGCAAGGACATCACGTCGACCTCCCGGCGAGCTGGCTATCTGATCAGATCATAGGGGTGCTAGCATTAGCAGACGATGTAAATCTGGCCAGTGCACGAGCACTGCTGCGAGTCTACACATCTGAGCTACAGGTAACTGTAGGATGGTCCGCGGCGGCCATATTGGAACTGCGAACACAGCTTGTACTGAACGTTGCTTTCGCAAGCGGCACGCCCGCCCTAGCACACGACCTTAATGCACAGACCGAGGGTGGTAAAGACGCAGACGAGCAATTGGTGACATTGGTGAAAGATGACTACTCCGGATTATATAACCTCGCTCGCGAAGCCGAATACCCAATGCACCACTTTACGAATACAGCAACAAGTCTTACCAGTATAGCAACGACTTGGAGCAGACGAGGACCCACTGCGACGAGTACGCCGCATGCGCGGTTCAATTGTACGAAGGCGCTGAGATCAAAGTCGTTTACATTCGCCGCGGCTTGCTGTCAGACATCGTGAAACAACAGGCCCCAGTTCTCATGACTAAGAAGACGATGCCCGTAACATATCTGCATCAGAAGTACGCGGAGCACAAATACGAGCACCCAGAACTCTACTGTAGTGGTTTGCTTCTGTCCGAGATGGAAAACCTCGCCCGCTGCCTGGAGTCAGCTTCTGTTCAGCGACCAGTGAGAGGGGATACATGCGCGCCATGCGAAGAATTGCATCAAGACGCTGGCGTAGGTATATGCCCGGTCATCGGATGCTTCGAGATAGTGATTGCAGATGGGTCAATTGGCCAAGACTCCATGCGGCCACATCTTCTTACTCATGCGGCGACATCGACAGTATCTGTAACTGCTATACCTCCAATCCGAACGACATCTGGTCTGCTTCCTCTGCCTCTCAAAATGCGGAACGCTACCAACCGTATATCACATGCTATCCCATCTCGATCTATTGTCGTGGACGTCGATGATTCTACTTCACTGAATCTTCGCACTCGATACCTGTTAGGACCAGGCACACTCGGGAATGGAACGGACATGGTCGCATGCCTAGGCTGCTGTACCTACTTCCTCAGGCGGGACATGGCGGTCCACTAGATACAATCAGCGCACTGTATGCCATGCCCTGGACATTCCGTGTCATGAGAATATCCGCAGCTGGATAAAGACATTCAGTGGTAGGGGTCAACTGACGCAGATGAACGAATCGGAGCTCACATCAAAGGTCTGGAACGACGTCCGCATTCCTGGAATACCATTGTTCACAATGGCAAACCTGCGAGAGGAGTTCCACAAGCGGGCCATTATTTGTCGTACTCGGATCAGAGAAGAGCCAAAATTCGAGCATCACGACGTCCAATGGATGCAAAAACGACTGTCCATACTGCGCGAGTTCTCTTGCCCTGTGTTCGTCGAGAATGCCCATCTCGCCGCAGCATCTACAGTGGAAAAGGCAATGATCGCCCGTACTCTACTTCCCTTATTACATTCTGATGATCAGACTCAACGTGATCTGGAACAAGAAAACCAGCTCAACTTTCCGTCAGAGCGATGGCCGAAGGAAGGCAGCTTGCGAGACATGGTCGAAGCGACCAAGAATCGGGCAGGCAAGACGAACAAGTACACGGTATATGCCGAGGTTCTGGACATCATAGCCGACAAGAAGTTCTGCTGGTCAAAGCAATCGGCGCTTTAGAGGCACTGAATCAATATCGATCTACGAGAATGGTGGCTTCCACGAGCTCCTTACAGAAGCCCACTCAGCCACGTCAGCTTAGAACAAGTTCGGCCAACAAAGCTAAGAAGTACAAGAGTGGGTTCTCGAGGGATTACTCAGACATGAGAGGAATTCTGTATTGAGGTAGTCGCAATGCGCTCAAGCAGCGAAGAATTCCCCTCAAGTGCGGGAACTTCTCGACGCGGAGAGAGCTTAGTCGTCGGCAGCAGGTCCAAGGCTCCATTCTCTGTTCATCGTTTCGTGGAGTGTATCATTACGACAGAGCGCCTGAACCACAAAGGAGCCAGCAGAGTCGCGACGACGAGGGGCTAAGCTCTCGGGCAAGGAAAGCAAAGGAAAGCTCAATGAAAAATTTCTCGATGTCGGGAATGAAATTCCACAAGAGGAGCCCATCCATGTCTATATAATCTTCAGAGAGCCTGATGCGTGCGTGGGAAGGCTACTGTCGCAATCACCACTCCGTCTCCTCCCCATTATATCTCATAAACTTGCCACCATTCTTCTCCCGTGTAGCTCCCTCAATGACTTTCACCATGCCATCAACACTCTCCTGCGTGGTAATCAACATCTCCTCAATCTGCTTCTCACTCATCCCAAAAGCTTTCGCTCCAGCCAAACCCATATCAGTCTGTACAAATCCAGGATCCAAAGGAAAAGCAACCAAATCCTCATTCTCCAAAGAAATCTTCCTGGTGAGATAATTCAAAGCAATCTTGCTTGTTCCGTATTCTGCGTTTGGGACACTGAACTCGTCAAGATACTTGATTGAGCCACCCTTGGAGCTGATAGGTACGAATTTCGCTCCTGAAGAAAGCAGAGGACGGAGGTGCTGGAAAAGAAGTAGGGGTCCGAGGGTATTTATTTGAAAATTCTCGAGAAAGTCGGAGGTTTTGGCATCCTTCACAGCGCTAGCCACCTTTCCGATCGCTGCGTTCGCGATGACAAGGTGGAGTTCTTTGACATTGTGGTCTTGGGAGAGGGATTGAGCAAGCGCGGGATAGTCTTGTTCGTTGGCAGCTTCCAGCTTGAGAAGTGTGAGAGACGAGTTCTCGGCTTTTGGAATCGAGTTGAGAGATTCCGATGATGCATCGGACGGGTTGCGAACAGTCGCGAAGACGTGAATGTTGGGAAAGTTGAGGTACGACTCTACGAGTCCACGTCCAAGGCCTAGTGAGATGTCAGCGATGAGGCTATAAGGATCCAACCACGATTCAGCTTTACCTCGATTGCCGCCGGTGATGAGAACGTTCCTGGCCATGATGAATGAGGTAGATGAAATCGCAGAACTAGGACTGGAGGTATCCTTCGCTGTGTTATCATGTTGAAGGCCATAACGTTAACATTTATTTATCAAGCGTCGCATACATTGCGATTCAGCCGCAGTCTCCAGTTTTGTCAGCATGTACGCGAATTGTGGAGCCGGCTCCGTAGTTGAGTTGCACAAAATCCTCAGGGAATGCGTAGCGCCATATCACGTCGTTTGGCGGAGAAATGAACGCCCCGAGACAACAAAGGAACGGCGTGGAAATTGTGCCGGGTGCCATTCGCTGCTTTCTGATCGCTCCTCGAATATGTGAGCACTGGCCTTGAAGAGTATTCTACATCTTGCGACATATTAATGCTGAGATCTCAGCAACATCATTTGGATCCACTACCTAGAGGCTTCCAAGATAGCTTCAAGTTCAGCAGCACTCAGCTTAGCCGGCTCCGCCGGCCGAGGTGGGACTTGCTTGGCGCCATTTGGATACCCATGAGTCTCGGCAGCAGTCAGCTGTGCTCCTTGGTTGCTGTTGGTATAGCCATAATCTCCCAGGGCCTTGATCTGATCAGGTGTCTTCTGAGAGAAGAAGCGATTGGGAGGCCGTGGAAGGCCAAGGTGTTCCCGGAGTGTGTTACCAGTATAATCCTGCCGGAACAGCCCTCTACGCTGGAGTTCGGGAACAAGACGCTGCGTGATATCGTCTAAACCTTGCGGTAGGTAGGGCATTACGCATGTGAAGCCATCGCATGCATCTGAGTCCAGCCATTTCCCCATGTCTTCTGCAATTGTTGCTGAAGTACCCACGAAAGTGAGGCCAGTGTAGCCTCCATATCTCTGCGCAAGCTGTCGAACAGTAAGGCCTTCTCGCTCGGCAAGGTCGACGACACTTTGTCGAGCTGTGTGTGAAGCATTGGTGGGAGGCAGATCCTTCGGAAGTGGCCCATCAGGATCGAATCCAGCAGCGTCGCAGCCCAGGGCAATAGACAACGAAGCAATCGCACTATCATAGTGTACGAACGAGTCCAGCTTTAGTCGTTTCTGTTGAGCATCATCCACAGTATCTCCCACGATAATCATGGCCGCCGGCAGAATTTTAATGTGGTTCCTGTTGCGACCTGCCTTTTCAGCCCTGCCTTTGATATCTGCGTATAGAGCTTTCCCGCCATTGATGTCTTTTGGCGAGCAGAAAACAGCTTCAGCAGTCTCAGCGGCCAATTGCCTTCCGGGCTCGGACTGTCCGGCTTGCACGATGACGGGCCATCCCTGCACTGGCCTTGCAATGTTGAGCGGGCCTCGTACGCTCAACTCTGGGCCCTTATGATTGAGCACATGCATTTTCTCAGGATCCAAGAAAGTTCCAGTTTCGCGGTCTCGCACAAATGCATCGTCCGCGAAACTATCCCAGAGACCAGTCACTACATCGTAGAACTCGCGAGCTCGCTTGTAGCGATCAGAGTGCTGCATGTGCTCATCCTGTCCGAAGTTCTTCGCAGACTCTGGGTTTCCTGTAGTGACAATGTTCCACGCAGCACGACCCTCGGATATGTGGTCCAGGGAGGCGAACCTCCGAGCAATGTGATATGCTTCATCATATGTCGTCGACGCCGTCGCTGCCAGGCCAATCTTGGATGTTACCTGAGAGAGCGCTGACAGTAGCGTGAAGGGCTCGAATGATGTTGTGGTGTGGCTGCGCTTCAAAGCTTCTATGGGCATATTCAAGACCGCGAGATGGTCAGCCATGAAGAATGCATCAAATTTTGCATCTTCAAGCTTCTTGATGAAAGACTTCAGATGGGCAAGATTGAAGTTTGAATCAGGATATGCTCCTGGGTATCTACATTGCTCTAGTCAGTACGTGCTAGTGACACTCCAAACTGCTGATATCCGAACCGCCATGCGCCAGTGTGGAGGCTGGTCGGCCGCATAAACGCCGTCAGGTGAAGTTGCTTCCGTTCGGCCATGACGGGTTTGCTCTTAGGCTGATAGTAGACGCGCTCCTTCACCGTTTCTTGAGATATTTCAGAGCGACAAGAAATGGAATGCGGTCTTGAAGCTGCAGTACGTCCATCCGGCTAAGCTGACAAATGACGAGCGACAATCGCCAGCTAGTCTCGTTGACGCCATACTTGCGCCTGTCAGCGTGCATCCGACTTCTCAGTATTTCCCCCGAAAATGCAATTGTGTTGTTGCAACGGCGTGACCATGTGGTTTCCGGGGCAGGACATAGCAGTAATCCGGATACTAAGATGTATGGAGGTGGTGTTGTGCGTCTCGTTTGCTCCTATCAAATTGTATCAATTCACTTCAGCCGAGGATGCCCCAGGCAGAACTTATCTCCGGTCGAAAAAGCTTGGCATTTTCGCAGGCTTCGTGATTGCCAGCTCCGCAGCTGCGACTTCTTCTCTTTCACATATCAATCATGCCTCTTGCCTGGCCCCATCAAGATGCCTCAGCCAGCGCATTAGGGCCAAAGAGACACATTCGCGTGGGCTCCGTATCGTGGCCCTTCGCATCTCGCCGTTGTGGCGAACCGGGCCAAGCAAGATCAGCCGCGCGCCCAGAGATTTCAATGGCCATGCGCTCCAGTGCCAGAAGATCAATGGCCGGTTTGCTATCATGCCAAGATGGGGTTTGAGCCACGCGAAAGTGCTTCGCTGCCAAACTAAACCCTTCTCTGCAGGTACCAAGCGCCTTGTGAGACACTGAAAACCATGCCTGTGGCCTTCGCTGCACTTCTTCTGCACTTCTCGCAGGGAATTGAATTGTATTGACGCCCTCATCATGGCCCCAAGCAACGTTCGCAGCGCGCTCACGCTGGCCGCGTTGGCCTCAGCCCTTGTGGTCTCCGCAGAAGATGTGCTGTACAGCAAGCGCCTTTCGAAGCGATATATTGATGCGGACGGCAACTGGAATCAGTCGTTCTTCCACATCAACGATGTGCACGCCCACCTTGACGAATTCCGAAGCTCAGGAACAGATTGCACAGATCCTACTCGTGGGTGCTTTGGTGGCTATGCTAGAGTATCGACAGTGGTCAACGAGCGACGTCCAGTTCTGAACAGCAGCTTGTTCCTGAATGCCGGAGACGAATTTCAAGGAACCCTGTTCTACTCATACTACGGTGGCGAGAAGATCGCCGAGACAATCAACCAGCTGGGATTCGATGGAATGACGCTTGGGAATCACGAGTCTGTACAACCCCGAAGACTGCGAGCGATAGCTGTGATTAATTCGTGCATAGGTTCGATGGCGGTGATGACATGTTGGGAGAGTTCTTGGAGAACTTGACTTTCCCAATCATTTCTGCGAACATTCAATCTGGTCACCCCGTACTCAACAGGACTATCAAGCCATTTCATATATACGAGCAGTACCAGCTTGCAGTGATTGGAGTTACAACTGAGACTACACCGGACATTTCTAGCCCGGGCGAGAACACCACGTTCTTAGACCCTATCGAAGCGGTTCAGAATACTATCAACTTGATCCGCGAAACTACAAACGTCACAAGAATTGCAGCTTTGACACACATTGGCTACGATAATGATCAAGCTTTGGCGCAGAATACCACTGGCCTTCACCTGATTATGGGAGGCCACTCACATACCCCACTTGGCACGGGTGAGGGCGAGGAGGGTCCTTACCCAACTATTGTTCAGAATCTCGATGATGAGGAGGTCTTCGTTGTTACCGCTTATCGTGAGTATCGAGATATACTGTGCTATACCACAGCTAACACATCAAACAGGCTGGGGAGAATACCTGGGCTACATCGATGTCACTTACGATGCTGAGGGAAAGATATTGGCATATCACGGTGGTCCCATCCACCTCACTAACTCCACTGCTCAAAACGAGACGCTCCAAGCTCAGATTGAGGAGTGGCGAGGTCCCTTCGAAGCATTTGCTGCCGAAGTCATCGGTCAATCTGACGTTGTCCTCGAGCAAGAAAACTGCCAGCAGGAGGAATGTCTGCTCGGCAACTTCATGGCCGATGCCATGCTTTCTTATCGACAGAACGAGAGTGACACCGTTGACTTTGCACTCATCAATGCAGGCGGCATTCGAGCTACTATCGACCAAGGCGACATCACAAGGGGCGAAGTGCTCACCAGCTTCCCGTTCGGTAACTCGCTCGTGGAAATCACCATGTCTGGCGACGACCTCTGGAGGGTACTCGAAGGAATCGTTTCTGGCGTCAGCGAATTCAACGATGAAGAAGTCACCAGTTTTGTGCAAGTCAGTCGTGGGATCCAGATTGAATACAATCCGGAGAACAACAATGGCAGCAGGCTCGTCGCAGTGAATATCGGCAACTCCAGTCTGGACCGCGCGGAGACGTACAAAGTCGTTACTCTCGATTTCCTCGCAGGCGGCGGTGACAACTTCTTTGGAACGTTGGAATTTCCGAACATTGTCACGCTGGAAACGCAAGACGAGATCCTTGTTCGATACATTCGATCTCAATCTCCTGTCAATATCCAAACAGAAGGTAGAATTGCTATCGTGAATGGCACTGCACCAAGCGATGGTGGATCTGGAGGAAATGGAACCGGTTCTGAAGGTGGATCGGATTCTCCTGCTAGTGCAGCCAGTTCTTACGCGTCTGGAGCCCTTCCTGCCATGATTCTCGCGGGCTTGTTGGCATTCGGTATTGCGTTGTGAGTGTCTGGATGACAAAAATGCAAGCAACATTGTACGATTTTACGTCTCACGAGGAAGCCCATATTGGTAATATGCAGTCGGAAAATCGACAGAATTGTGATTGATACTATTCACGAGCCTGCTGCTCTCCATTCATCAAATGGAAACGCTGCCACACAAGGTGCAAAAGATGGCAGTCGAGATGTATCTCAATGAAGACGAAGGCTGATATAATCGTTGCGCTCGATCCTGAAAAGCTGGACGAATTTATTCACGTGCATTTAGCCGACACTTTGCCGAGGTTTCTGCCCGTGGGGTCTCCGCGCGAATTGCGGATCCCGAAGACCACGCACACGGCGATCCACGGACGACATAGAGTTCAATCACAAGCGCAGAGCCGCATCGACAAGCTCTCTCGCTCACGCGTAGTGCAGCGTAGGATGAACTATCTCGCTACCAGTCCAATAGCTCGCAGCCTCCTCGTCGGCTCTGCGTCATCAGATTGTTTCGCTCAAGCAGACGAAGCAGCTGACACCTCTGATCTTCATAGCATCGCCGATATGTACGACTTTGAGCATTGGCGCATGGCTGCCACGCGACCAAGCATAGGATGCGAGCGGAGCTCCCTTTGTGCGACTTCTTTATTGCCGTCGCGTCTTCGCTGACCGGTTCTTCGAACACTCTCTCACAGTTGATGACTTTCCGCAGCCAGTAAACAGTATGGCGGCAACAGGACACACGACTTCATACGATTACTCAAGCGGCAGCTCTGAAGAAAAAGATAAACTGAACACATCCTCAGCACTTCACAATCTACCTACAGAACCCGGCTCCGTCTCCCACCGCGAGCATGCGCACGAACAAACTCTCCCAGCAGGGGAGAAAATGCACGAAACCGACACGATAGACACAAACCGCACGTCCTCCACAATCCACAAAGCCCGACGAGTCCTCGGCCTTCATCCTTCCGCCCCCATAATTGAAGAGCACGACACAGCCTCCCACTCCACCCTCCTCTGGACAAAAATCCGCCTAGTCCTCAAAGAACCTCTCGCCGAATTCTTCGGCGTCATGATAATGGTCTGCTTCGGCAACGGCTCCGTCGCCCAAGTCCTTCTCTCCGCCGGCCAGACCAGCGCTCCTGGCGGCAATGGTTTCGGCGAATATCAGAGTATCTCATGGGGCTGGGGATTAGGCGTCATGTTGGGAATATACATCGCAGGCGATTCAGGCGCTTATCTCAACCCAGCTATTACTCTTACGAATTGCCTTTTACGAAAAGTTCCGCTTCGACGATTCCCGATTTATCTCCTTGCGCAGTTTCTTGGAGGTTTCGTCGGAGCTGGAATCGTCTATTCGAACTATATCAACGGGATCAATACTTTTGAAGGAGGGCCTGGAATTCGGACTGTTCCTCCAGCAACTAATGCTACTGCTGCGATCTTTTGCACTTATCCGCAGGCCGATTTGACAAAAGCGAGTCAATTTTTCTCCGAATTCATCGCTTCCGCGATCCTCATGTTTACGATCTTCGCACTCCGGGACGATTCAAATTCCGGTTCTTTCCACGCCAGCGGGAACTTCTTCCCTTTGACGCTATTCTTCCTCATTTTTGGACTTGGAGCTTGCTTCGGCTGGAACACCGGATACGCGATTAATCTTGCCAGGGACTTTGGTCCAAGGTTAATGAGTTATGCTGTGGGCTATGGACATGAAGTGTGGTCCGCAGGCGGATATTATTTCTGGATCCCAATGGTGGCGCCGTTTGCGGGATGTTTGTTTGGGGGTGCGTTGTATGATGTTGCAATTTACACAGGACCTAGTCCGGTGAATCAGCCCTGGTTTGGAATTCCGCAGTTATTGAATCCGAAGAAGACTGTGCAGGATCGGCTGGCAGCGCAGAAAGAGCAGGGCCTTGTGTGAGTTGGGAAAGAAGCGAATATAATTTCTGTAAAGAGGTTATGATTTCATGATAGGAGCTTGGAGCGCGTCTGGAATTGCAGCTGCATCGATGACAGGAGCACGAGACCACAGAGCATCTCACACCTCACTGGGCCGAAATCCCGTAACAAGATGAGCAGCAACGCTTGATAGCGACCGCTCAACCACCGACTTTTTGAGAGTTACAAAGAGTATCATGAGAAGAAAAGAGAATTGCCATTTGCCAGACATTCGAGGGAGAAACAATGCAAGCAAAAGCCGTCGCCAACAATAGCCTTCTCCGATGGTACAGTAGTAATGAAGTCAACAGTCTAGCGCATACACGGTCATGCTGCAGGAACGGGCCCATGAAAGCATTATACTTGAACATTCGCTCGCTTCTTGTGCCTCCTCCCTCCGCTGCGTATCCTGATGACTACTCCCGAGCTCTTTAATCCTATGCGACCAAAGATTACGAAGCCAGGAGCTCAGCCAACCGCAGCATCTCGAGTTGATCAATTCGCTGCACAAAGATCCGGCGGCGACGTGCACTGGTTCCTGACTGCAACGTTACCAGTTCCAGTAGAATTGATGAAGATATCAAATGCATTGTTCTGGAAAACGTTCTCTTTGACCACATTGTTCGACGCAATAGCGGCCTGTCCAGGCCTAGTACTGCAAGCAAGACCGCCCCCTGTGCAAGGGTCATCCACGATGACAAGACCCGCGGCCGCAACCTGATCTTTGATGATATTCTTGGTGACTTTTGTGTTGGTAGCCCCGTCGATGATAATTCCAACCGTACCATTTGGACAATTTGGAAAGGGTTTTTCGATCGTGTTTTCGCTGAGCACCGCACCGTCTGTGAATGGGTCGACGAAGGCACCGGCACAACTGTTCGTGATGAAATTCTTACGGAGCTGTGCACCATTGGTCTGAACGCAGAGACCGATGCCGTATGTCGATAGATGGTTGCCGGTGGCTTGGGCGTCTCGGAAGTCGTCGACACAGAGTGCGATGAAGCCCAAAGTTGATGGCATCTTGATCTTGTTGTTTGTGATGGTCGTCTTCTTGGACCCAGCCGCTAAGAAGCCGTAGATGCCACCATTTTCGAGCTTGTTTGCATCGATACGGGTCTTTTCTGCGCCGAGGACGAGGATATTTGCGCCGATAAAGTCACGGACTTTGAAGCCTGACACCGAGACACCCTTGACAGGTTTCTGCACGGAACGGACCTTCCGATGCTCGATACCGATGAACTCGTCGAGGACAATTCCCTTGCCTGCGATACAGATTCCTGCTTGCGAGTCGGGTCCCATCACGCCGGTGCAGGGATTGGTCTTGAAAGACGATGGGGGTGCAAGCTGGGCGTCGTGTCCGATCAAAGTTATGCCATCTTTCTTGATGAGGAGCTGCTCATTATAGGTGCCCTTGGCCACATGGATACAGTCTCCTGGTGATGCAGCATCGATGGCCTTTTGAATGGACTGTCTCGCCTTCACATAGCGAGTTCGAGGTTTTCCTGCATCGATACCTGGAGTTTATGTCAGAGAACGGTCGACACATCGCGATAAGACGAGACCTACCCAATGCTAAAAGCGCGACAATGCCGAAGAAGGTGGCCTTCATAGCTGCGAATTGCCGTTTCGCGGTGTCAGGGGCGATGGAGTTGTGAGAAGGGGCGATGAGAATACATCAGATGGGATACCACAACTCTGGTCATATACTGTCGCGACACACCTCGCAATCTCCACTGATCAAAGGACCAGAACCGCCACGTCTGTATCCTGAATCACAATCCTGGTGCTGCATCAGGTAAAGGGATCGCATTCGCATTGCAATACTTGGACAATGGCGTTCATTGATCAGGCCACTCCCAATCGGCTCCTTCGAGAGCTGCACAAATGACGTCGGGCTGCAGTTGCATACGCAGAAAAGAAAACCGCAAGCAATTGTACCCGAAGAGTTCTTGCTTCTTGCATCGCCATTTCATCCATGCCGAGATATAAGCTGAACAACGAAATCAACAATGTGTTCTTCGGATACTGCGACACTGATTGTATCCAAGCACCACATTTTCGGCGAACTTCGGCCAATATGATGACTGTCGAACTCTGGTTGATCATAATCTCGAATATCGGATCGCTTGGGAGAAGTGGTACCGGTGAACCTCATGCAGATGAGTAAGCTTGGCTGGCGCTGCATGGCGGCTGCTACCGCCTATCATTCGTGCAACATGTCTGCAGGATCTGAACTTCCAGCCAAAACCCTGAAGAGGATCCCCGAATTCATGACTTCGAAGCCGATCCTTGAACAGTTGATGGGAATTCTTACCGACGCTTTCGAACGAGTCGGTCGCTTCGACTTCATGGATTGAATCTACGCCCATGTTGGTCTAGAATGTTTCGCAAATAGGACAAGATCATAGTGGTGGTTGCTATGCACTGCGGAGGTTCTCTGCGAACGTGGAAAGCTGATGTAATACAAAGATGAGCGCTCGTCAGCTCGTCGAGGCGCAGCATGGGACATGGAAAGGTTTCAATGTGAAGTCTGCAAGAGCTTTTTGAATTTATCATTGTGGATTCCACGAGAATGCCGATACTCATTAATTCTACATTTATGTTCTCATTTTCGTTTCTCATCTCTCGTCTCTCGTCTCTCGTTCATCGTTCATCGTGATTCGTGAGGTCATCAAGCACAACCCTTCATACAATGCAAACAATCTCTTCCATAGCCAAAATACTAAGCGTCCCCAATTTTGTACCCATCTCATGCCAAATGTATGCCCCATTCCCAGAGGTAGAAAAGAAAGAAAGCTCAGCGAATATGCAATCTATGCCTCGCTCGTGGTGGTGATGATGATGTTATGCCAGTCCTGTGTATCCTGTAACGTCTTCTTGTGTATGAATGAACTACTGTCGATATTGCTGGTTCGGGTCGTAACCATACTGCGAATTGTAAGGGCCTTGATTTGGTGGATGGTAGGGCTGGCCCGGCTGCTGATATCGGGAAACCCCGTACTGCTGCTGCCACTGCTGTGGCCCAGGCTGCTGCAGAGGGTGGTAGAATTGCCCAGGCTGCTGGTATTGCTGGCCTGCGTGTTGCTGCTGCCATTGCTGCTGTTCGGGCTGTTGTAGAGCGCGATAACCTTGTGGAGGCATGAAAATGCCCTCGTTCATGCCCGAAGCCTCGTTCCAGGTCTCTTGCTGATAAGCAAGATTGGCCGCAGGTAGATCAGGAGATTGCGGGGTGTAATAGCCCTGTGGTGATACTGCGCTGGCTTGTGTGTTGTGGTAGCCAGCTGGAGGTACAACACCAGGCTGCGATGGGTGCGACGACTGCTGCATTTGTCGGCGAGCAGCATTTTCCGGATGATTTCGGACGTACGTTTGTAGCTTTGCCAACTCACGCTCACTCAAGGGCTGTTGTGGCCGAGCGTTCTTCGTGATACGTCCAGAGTTGCTGACACGATCCAAAGCTGGCATGTTCATGGACAAGTCGCCAGACGGACGAGGCTTCAACACCGGACGTGGAGCATCTGGCATTTGAGTCTGCGCCTGGGTCTCTGGCTGCTGTGCGTTCTCAACATCGTCCATCATGATGATGTCCTCACCCACAGGAGTCTGCTCTTTCATCATAGGCTGCTGTAACTCTTCATCATCCTCCAAAATCGTGATGATCTTGTCGCCCGCCATCTCCTGCAGTTTGGCCAGTGTCTGTTCGTTTCGGGAGACCTTGCTCTTCTGTGGTCGATTCTGGTGAGAGTTGATGCGACCACCGGCTGTGCGATCGCGGCTTGGTGCTGCAGGAACAGGGAAATTCTTGTTCAGAGGGATCCCGCCCGCGATACCGCTCGCAGATCCTAGAGCTAGGGATCGAAAATCGCCATCGGCCCATTGTCCATGCATGACGCGTTCGTGTGCAGCGTGAGCTTGCAGCATCACTTGGCTAGGTTGCCCAACCTTTGCTTTTCGAGCTCGCTGGCCGCTCAAAGATGGCTCAGGCGATGTCGCAGCGAGTGGTGCGCCCAAAGATATCGCGTTCTGTTGCTGTATCTCGCCGCCTTGTTCCTCCACAGCAGCATCCGGTTCAGCTGCATCTTCCAGCTCCTGCTCGTCAACGACTAGCTCAACACCAGCGATCGGCCCAGCATTGCCCTTCATGTACGTTTGGAACCAGTTGCGAGCGAATTGCTGCAGACGTTTCTTCGAAGATGCGGAACGCACATCTTGGCAGCCAATGGACCTCAGAAAGTTTCGCAGCTCAGCGGCAGAGTAGTTGCTCAGATCCGCTCCCAGCTGTGGCTGAGCAGAGTATCTGTTGCACTGTTTAATTATCTCCAGTGCGGCTGGCGTTCTGTGCTTTCTGTCCCCACTAAAGCTCCAGACGTTGTTCCCAGTTTTTTGGTAGACAGGATACGGCAAGCCAGGATGGACGACCTTGGTCTGAACGCTTGGAGCCGGCTTAGACTTTGCGGTAGTGGGTTCATCTTGCGTACCCGTGCTGACCGCCGGCATTTGTGGCTCTGTCGATGATGCTTGTGCAGCAGTCGCCATCCCGGATTGCTGGAAAGGCATCGCAGCGGGCTGCGGAGCAGAAGCATGCGGGCGAGGTGCCTGGGAATTGGGTAGAACAGAGTTCACTTGAGCTGCCGCCGTCTGCTGCGTTGGAGTCGTGTTCACAAAAGTTTGGAGTGAAGAGGGAACATTTGCAGGCTGCGCGGACGGCTGCGGTGTACCCTGATCAGCACAGGTGGGCTCGTTGACTTGAGCCTCTCGTCTCGGTGGTGCATTAGGACCTCTTCTTTGCAAGGCTTCTGCACCTGGTATCGTGCCATAAAAACCATCGAGCTTTTCGCCATGTTCCGTGATGAACTCCTCAACCCTCCTCTCGATATCGTCTTTTGTGCCACTTATCGGGATACCGTAGATTCTGCACCAGGCTGTGATCTGATTCTTCTTCAGATCATCAAATCCGGAGCGACAGGCTTTCTTGATCTCATTGTTGTGAGGGACTTCATCACGCTTTTCATTGAATCTCTTGGCAACCCTCTTGCTGGCATTATTCCCACTGCTCGCCGTGGCTGGTGGCTGCGTCGTAGAGGGTTCGTTGATAATAGCCTGCTCGTCGGCTTTCATTGCCGGCGTCGCCCTTCTCACCGGAACCGTTGAAGGTAGTGCTAGTGACCATGGTGCTTGTAAGGGGGGCTCGCTCGTTGCGACAGGTACCAGTGCTGTCGATTGCTGTGCAGTCTTCGCCATCTTGGCTGGACGTGCAGTCTCGGCGTCTGTAATTCCTCCGTCTGCACCACGCTTTCTGGGGTTTGTCGGCGCCATGACTTGTGGCATGACCTCTTCAGGCGTGGTTCGAGCATCTCTGGTTTCCTTAAGTGGCTCCTCATCAAGGTCAAAATCACCCTCAAACAGGCTATCAGTCTCCGCCTCCTCGAGTGCGTGCCGTACCAGACGCTCCAGCTCATCCTCGTCTTCTTTGTTGGAAGTAGCATCGTCGTGAAGAAGCTTAGCGCCACGATCGGTAGCCTCAGGCGTCGCCTGCTTCTCATGCTGGAGGTGGTGTACCTGTTGACGAGCTTGAGTCTTGTTGGCAGTCTGCCTTGGACCGCTCTGAGCAGGCCCCTGTTTCGCTTGTGTGCCCACTTTCTTCTTGGTGCCACCCTCAACGGCGTTCTGAGTCTTGCCCGCCTTGGCCGCTTTCCTCTCTCGGGCCTCACGGTTCTTCTCTCTCTTCTTCAAGTTGATGAAAGCCGCGGAAGCCGCTGTCCAATCGCTGCTGTGACTGGGATCTTCGAGAGTATCCAGCATGCCGGCCAACGACTCCTTGGCGCTGTTGATGAACCCAGGGATGTCGCCAGCAATCTCAACATCGGACGCTTCAATCTCCATGTAACCATTCTCGTAACGAGTGATGGCCGCCTTAGGAGCTTCGAGTCCAGCAAAGACGCTCTCCACCTGCAAGCCGTAGATTTCAGCGTTGACTCCAAAGAGCTCGGCATTGGGATCGAGAACACCCAATTCGTCGACCATCCCATCAACGATGTTGCGTGGTAGATCACTGCCAACCTTCTCTTGTCTGAGCTTCTCGGCGACCAGTTCGACACGAGAGTTAAACTCTTGACTGTAAGGGGCGTCGAGTGCGAAGCCGCTGATCTTCAGAGTGTAAGAGATAGGTCTGTCGTTCTTGTTGGTACTGTAGTTGAGCTCCTCGTCGTCACAATCCGATTCCTCTTCTTCGTCATCTGGCAGGGCATGGAGTCCCACGAAGAGCTCTGCCGTGATCGGGCTGATGCCGGTCTGTCTTCCGAGATCGACAATGGTGACGCGCTTAATGCTGAGGACAGTGGATGTAGACATCGTGAATACTCGAGAAGGCGCTTAAAAAGACTAGAAAGCGAGATGGATGGGAGGACGCTTGAACTGACTGCCGACTCGTGTGGTCGAATCGTGCGTAAGTCGCTGCGAGAGAGAGCTGGGAGGTTCGTCGTCGAGTAGTGTCGTGGGTCGAGCCGCGCAGAAGAAGTGCAAGGAGGGTGTGCTGTGCGCGGGAAAGTGCTGTATGTAGTTCGCTGTGTACTCGTTGTGTGTCGAGTGCTGTCAATGTTGCTGAAACAAGCCGGTATGAAAGTGGTACTGAGGTAAGAGTAGAGAGTCGGCAGTGCTTCGATTGAGAAAAGAGTATCTGCCATCGTCGGCGGGCCCTTCACGCGCTGTGCCCATTGCGCTGTTCACTGGCAGGGTAGTTCCTCCAATGACCGTACGCAACAGCCGTTAACTCGCCCCACATCTATCGCTAGTGCGAAATCGGACAATGCTACACTATGGAGAAGTGCTGTCCTGGGTCAATAGCGACAATGGCATTCAGCATTGACAATACCAAAAGCGCCAGCCACAATATGTGCATGATTGCAATGGATCGCATTCCGCCCACCTGCTTGATGATACGCAGAGCGAGTCGGGACGGATCCATCGCAGGTCCACCGATTTTCGGGAGGGAATGTGCTGCCAGAGGCTGACTTTGGAGCCATGTTCTTCTATAGAAGCATCGCGGCGAGCATGCGATCGAGCAGATGACTTCTAGCACAAGAATGCTCGAGTGTATTCTATGCCTACTGAAATGTCGATCAGTTTCCTTCCCGTGTCCGAAGTCCATGCGCGAGCACAGCAATGCTGACTGTAAACAAGACATGTCTCGAAGATTATCCCAGGCTCAGACGAGTGTCGACGCCTGGAACAAATGATTTCACTCACCGAAGACCCTGCTTCACTTCTTTTCTCCCTCCTTTTTTCCCTTTCCCTTGACCTTCTTCCGCTTGCTGCGGTCTCGCTTCTTGAGACTCTGCATCCCTGCTTTGCAGACTTCGGCGTATCTGGTAAAGAAGGCCTCCAAATCGTCGGGCTGGACTATCGTGCTGAGCTTGATCTTGTCTTTGTTTTTCTTCCTGTCTTTACTCTGTGACTTCCCATCCGTTGCTCGCACAATGAGTGGCAGCGGGTTTGGAGGATGAAGGTCCCAGAGCGGGTCGTCCGCTACCTTTTTTGATTCATCTTCGGCTGTCGTCGACGGATCGTATGATACTATGAGTTATGAGTAACATGCGATTTCAAAGCATATGAAAAATATTTACATCGTTTCTGAGTCAGGTATACTGAGCCGTGGCCCTTTTCCTGCACCTTGGAGACGAGGGAAGTGAGGTTTATGAAGAACTGGAGGCGGCTTTGTCAGCTTTGGCTTTTCATTGTGCGCTCAGTATCACAAACCTCTTCATTGCTCAAGTGAGGTTTCGCCATGGTTATCGCTGATTCTAGGGTGTGGTGGTGGGATGCGAAGAGGTGATGTCCACGTCCATATCGCAATGTGGGGCCGCACAGATCGGCAGATCGGCGCCGAAGAAAGCTTGATGCTTCCGAGGGTTCAACTTTTTGTTCGCAACACGATCTCCACAGTCGCGTGCACTGATGCACTGTGACTCGCGGAGAAAGGCTTCGCAATGAGTAGATCTGCCTTCCGAGGGCCCAAGCTGCCACGGGAGTTACTCGACCAGGTGTCCAATGGCCGAGTCAACAAGCGCAACCATCAGCAGACGAGAAAAGAGAGACGGAAAGCGGAGAGGGCGCAGAAGAGACCGCAGCCGACAAAATCCATTGCGAAGCCGCTCAAACCCGCTCTCAAAAAGCCAAAACCGGCGCCCCAGCAGCAGCCTGCAAAGGAAGACGATGAGGAGGATGGAGACGATTTCGAAGACTTTGGCGGCGATGACGATACGCAAAGCGATAATAGCAGCGACAATGAGGACGATTATCCTGCGGCCCAGGTGGTTCCTAAGGCTGTGAAAGCTAGATTGGAGGAGGATGACGCAGAGATTCGGGCCTTGGAGAAGAAGCTGGGCATACGAAAGAGCAAGAAGAAGGTCGGAGACGATGAGCTAGACTGGCTAATAGGTGGCGGTCTGAGCAGTGAGGATGAAGATGGATTCGCTCTGTCAGCAAGAAAGCGCCCTGCCGCCGAGGATGAAGACTGGCTGCAGAACAAGAGAAGGAAAGCGGCGGAGAAAGCGGCGAAGGTGCCGGACCCTGGGAGCGAGGATGAGCAGGACGGCAGTGATGGCTTTGCGGACTTCGAAAGCGGCGACGACGCAGACGTGATTGATGGAGAAGAGGAGGATGATGAGGAGGAGGATATCGAGAATCCTTTCTCTGACGACGAGCTGTCAGACGGCGACCTGGCATCCGATGATGCAGATGCAGAGAAGGCTCCATTCGTGCAGAAACAACGCGAGAATCCGTACGTCGCGCCCGCAGTTCACACAGCTCCTTCCGGCAAATTCGTTCCGCCCTCGCTGCGCAAAGCGGCGTCCAACGATGAAGAAATGTTGAGACAACTTCAGAGACAACTCAACGGGCAAATGAACAAGCTATCCGAGTCGAATATGTTGTCCATTCTCTCTGCCGTGCAAGAAATTTACGCAAAGAACGCTCGCGGTCATGTTACTTCAGTTCTGATTGAACTCTTTAAGAATCGCGTTTGTGACCGGTCGGCCCTCACTGACAACGAGATGATTCTGCTTGCCGGTTTTGCTGCAGCAGTGTATCGTACCTCAGGCCCGGACTTTGGCGCGCCTCTTCTGGAAGGGATGGTTGAAGCTTTTGATCGTTACCACGCCCAGGACTCCGACGAGAAGCAGACGCTCAATATTCTGGCATTCCTATCGAACAGTTACACTCTGCAAACGCTTGGCTGTGAAGTCATTTTCGACTATATTCGCATGCTTCTCGACAACTTCTCGGAGGCCAATACTGAGCTGTTATTGCGAGTTATTCGCATTTCCGGAACGCAGCTGCGACAAGATGATCCTTCCTCGCTGAAAGACATTGTGTTACTGCTTCAACGCGCTATCACTGCAGCAGGTGGTGCAGAGAAAGTGAGCGTAAGGACAAAGTTCATGATCGAGACGATACACAACCTCAAAAACAACCGCACCAAGGCTGGGGGTGCCGGCTCAGTGAGCAGCATCGAACACACCACTCGCATGAAGAAGACGTTGGGCCAGATTAAGAGCACGAAGACGACCGAGCCTCTCCGAATCAGTCTTGCCGATATACGAGACTCTGAAAAGAAAGGTAAATGGTGGCTAGTGGGTGCTTCCTGGCGAGATCCTGCAAAGATGGTCAATGGTGCATCTGAGCAACCCATTGTCGCGACTGCCCCTCCTGCCAGAGAGGATGATGCAGCGGCAGACTCTGAACCGGAAGAGGTTGATTTCTATGCACTTGCCAAGGCCCAGGGCATGAATACCGACGTCCGTCGCGCTATTTTCGTCTCGATCATTGGCGCTGTGGACCCGACGCATGCCCAACTACGGATCCAGAAGCTCAATTTGAAGAACAAGCAGCAGCTCGAGATTCCTCGTGTGGTGCTGCACTTCGCAGCAGCGGAGCCAATATACAATCACTTCTATACACTGGTCGGACTACATTTCTGCTATGGCCACAAGATGGCTAAAGCATGGCAATTCGCGCTGTACGATGTCTACCGACGCATTGACGCTGACGACGACGATGAAGACTCGGGAGAAGGAAAATTGGAGATAAAAAGCGTTTACAACATCGCGAAACTCTATGCTACCCTGGTGTCCGAGGGCCACCTACGGATTACACTTCTAAAACCTCTTCCGTTTATGACGCTCTCTGTAAAAGCGAAGGTGTTCGCGGAAGTCATGCTCGCCACGCTCTTGGTTCTCTTGCGCAAGAAACACGGAAAGGAGGCGTTTGGGAAACAAACTGAGGAATGTTTTGGCAGAGCGCACGCTGTACCAGATATGGTGAAGGGTTTGGACTGGTTCCTAGAAAATGTTGTTCCAGAATCTAAAGCCCCTTTCAATTCGAAGGAGAGGAAAGTGATCAGGCAGGGCATAGAATATGCTGTTGAGGCTCTAAGAGACGAGAGACTGATGGCGAGGACGGCAAGAGACGATGGGGATGAAGAGGATGATTAGACAAAATTTGGTAAAACAGTACAAGCCGCAGCGGTTTCTCTGAAAGAATCGGAGGGTCTCTGGCACTGTGCTTGAGCCCAGGCACAACATTGCCGCAGAGTGTCATTGGAGAAGCGGTGGCAGGGTTGTCTTTCTCTGGATAGCTTGAGAGGTCTCTGCCACTGAGCTCGGCTTCGGAGCGAAATCATGCCGCAAAGACACAGTGGAGATGTGGATACTGACACATTTCTCTCCAGCAATCATGAGAGATCTCAGCTACTTAGCTTGGGCCCCGGAACGAAAATACGTCGCTGAGATATGCCTGAGAGCGAAAACTTCCCGTCCGACCTGCACCCGTACATGATCTGTGTACAGGCAAGAGACAAAAACGTTTGCACGACGCAATGCTTGTGGTTGGGCAACCGGTTTGCTCCATCAACGTAAATCGTGCACTGCTGCTGATGTGACCCCAAATTCTAGCGAACAGTGCACTCAGAACAGGTGCGCTTTGGCAATATAATATGCTTTGAAACGATATAACCCCGAACGCAGTTCGAGCGACACTACGTTCGTGGGAAGTGGCTACTACTACACGCCGCCGTGCAACTTTGGAGAGGAATACAATCGCTCGGACACATCAGCTATTCCTTGCTTTCAGCCCCTTCGATACGGCACATGCCATTCGCTGCCTCTCGCCGAACAGCAATTCCCAAGATCTCGGGCTGCGGCTATGGAGCACAGCTCTGTTTCGACGCTGTTCTCACGGCATATGCTGCTGCATGCGCAGTAGCACAAGCCACCCGACGTCACGCTCATTCACCTCAACTCACGGGTGAATGTACAGAGCGTAAGATATTGTCGGCCAATCGAGTGGTTCCAACTTTCACTTCTTCTACCACTTCATCGAAAAACGCAGCACGAACCGACGAACGAACCTCAATCAACAGCCTTCGCCGCAACAATACTCGTGCTTGTGTACCTTCTGACCACCCATCTGCTCTGAATTTCCAAGTTCCAGGACTCGAAGGTGGTCGCCGATTTGCAAGCCTTGAAATTAGCACTTCCAACTGGGACCTGGTGTCTCGCGGTCTGCGCTGTCGTACAGGTTCGTTTGCTGAATGTGAGACTCGAGACATACCGCTGACACCCTATGAGATAGTTGCCGGTATCTATATATCATCGACTCGAAAACCTACGACAAGGCACTCCCGCAAATCCGGTCCACACAAAAAGTCGGGGGCATCAGGTTAGCGAGTTTCGAGAACCAATACAGGCTACCACTTCATCATTGCCAACATGAACGGACCAAGCAACAGCAAGCCTGGTGCTCAGCCAGCAAAGGAACCAACCAAGCCAACGACACAGCCTCTCGCGACGAAGAATGATCAGTCCGGCAATCGAGCATCATTTGCAGGAGTTCCAACCGGACCACGCTCGTTGAGGAAGCGGCCAGCACACTCCTTGCCACCAGCACCCAACACTGCTCTCAGAACTCCAGTACCTGGTGCGCCAGCCGGGCCAAAAGCGATGAGGACGCCAATGCAGCAGAGTGCTGTGAAGCCGGATCCTGACATGATCAAACTCACCGACCAGGAGATTGAGCAGAAGTTGATGGCAAATAAGGCGGAGGCCGAGCGAATCGCTCGTCGACTTGCTACGCTTGAAGCTGAGGCGGCAGCTGATAGCGATGGGCACTGATCAGTCTCACATCTTTCCCGGTAACCCATGCGAACTGCTGGCACGAAGCGGAAGACGGCGAAGGAGCAAATTTAGGAGACACTGGGAGCAGTATCAAGAAAGTCAGGACAGAGGATGCAAGCAGTCATGTCACTACTTCCCACACGTCAGCATTCTCAAAGCTAACCACGATGTCCCTGCGCATCGCCGTTGCTATTGCCATACAGGACAGCGTTGAAAGAGTATTGAGTGGTCGCAGGGCTGATCTTTTTTTTTTTGACTCCGTCCTTGCCACACGAGAGCTGTAGCTAAGAAATGCTGCAAATTTCATAGTCGAGATGAACGCTATAGCGACAGACTTGACAAGACCGAGATCCATAGCGAGCGCAACGCATTATTTGGAGCGCTGTTGAGCTTCCGTTGTCACTTCGGGCTTAATGAACACCTCTTGCGCGCCCTTGAGCCCCCTTTCCGTTGCCTGAGTCGCATTTCCACGGTCTTGCTTGTCCTTGATGAGAGCCGTCAACACGGACGCGGCTGTCCGATTCTCACACAGTGGCTCAAGGATTCTTGTAAGCGTGAAGTGGTCGGAATAGAGTTCCGAACGTGAAGCATCCAACGTGTTGTTCCTGGTTGTAACATTAGAAATGAATCGTCCGATGCATGGGAGGGCAAAACTCACGTGCCGACGAACAATTTGTCCATAGATTTGCTGGCCATTGCAACACGATCGACGTGAAAACCCGTTCCGAGTACAGCCAGCCTCATCAAGAGCATGTATGATTCATAAGCCATAGGTCCGCTTGAGGCGCCTGCAGCTGTTGCGCCCAAACCGATCCAGCCGAAAAGTTGTTCGACGGTCTCCTCGCAACCGTGAACGTTGTACCACTTCAATGCCAGTTCCTTGTAGTCCGGTTCATGGCCAAGGAAGATCCAATTTGTGAATACAGCGATGCATTCGCCTTCTTCAACCCCGATGGGCACCGGAACCGGGTAGAGTGTTGCAATGAGAGCACTGCTAGAGAAGAATGGGTGAAGTGGTACTGGCATTGTACCTGGAGTGTCGTGGAGTTCCCGAAACAGATGGAAGCTTGCAGTATCGTTCGGCAGAAGTATGCTCGAAGGTTGGTGTTGTCTTACAACCTAGCGTAGACACGAAGGCAGACCGATGGAAGAAGTAGGAATGCTGTCGTAGAGTGAACAAACGCCGTGTATAAATACGCCTCATCTCGACGAGCAACCGCCACTTCTCGCAGGACATTGTGGCCTAATGCTGCCTCGTGTTGTAAGATGGTCAGACCATACTGCTTCTTGCAGCAATGGAAGCAAGGTGCTGGCCAGAGTGTAGAAGTTCATCCCGTCGGAGCTCCACTGTGATGCTGTTAGTCTATTGACCGCTTCCTGTTCCCATCATGGTTGAACGCTTATGCTGCTTTCCGTGTCGTTACCATGTTGCTCTGTGCGACCATACCCACTGCCAAGGCCGAGAAATGCCATTGAAGTGGCCTCTATGCAGTTTCCCGTCGGTGGAGGGGCCGTGGGGGTTGACAAGCGGGCCTTTTAAAGCAGCTACTGGTTTCATCACTATCACCACTACTTTACTGGACCAATCCCTTCAGGCGTGGCGGGTTCTTGCAACAGCGCTGAGCTGGCATCAGTCCTTGCGTGAACAGGTTCATGACATGGTGGGCAGTGGCCGATGCTGGAACTCAACCCGAGTGATGTGTAACAGTCTCCATGAGCCAAAGCTTGCTGGTTGTGCCTATCTGTGGTGTTTTTGCCACTAGACTACCCTGCGGAAGATCAGTGTCTGTACCTTCTGCCCTTTTCACTCCCACTCTCAGTTCAAGCTGTTCCGATCCCAACTTCTGTTCCCACTCGACATATTCAGCACGGCCAAAGATCAACCATAGCGTTCTTTGGGACCGCCACTGAATCTTGTGAATGCCTTGTGGACCCCTAACGCGATAGAGACCCATGTAAAGGTGAAGTGTATGCCTCGAACAAAGATTACCCATTCCATCTACCGTATCCCAAATACAATAAACACTTTCTCTGCATCAAATGAACAGCTTGTCCAGTGTGCGCCTCAGGCCAGGAAGACCAGAACGGCGACCAACAACAACATCATCATAAGTACACTCCCACTGCTCAGTCCCGTCGACTTGGTCTTCGGCTTCGCGTCGGCGACCACAGGAGCCTGCTGCACACGCTGAACCTCTGGCGAGGACTTGATCTTGCTCTCTGCCGCAGACTTCTCCACACATGGCCCCAAAAGAAGCTGAGGGGTCGCACGATGTCCGTCAGGTGCAGTGTCCTGTTCCGCCAGCATCAAAGATCTCCGCAAAGCCGCTGTCTCCGTTTGCAACACCTTGTCGAGGTCCTGAAGACAACTCTCTGTGTCTTTGAGGAGACTGGCAACAAGCTCGTGATTGGCGTTCTCGAACTTGGTCAGGCTTGCGAGCTCTGACCTCGAGGTAATCGGTCGATCAATCAGTGACTTGAATCTGTCCCTCAACAAGGAATCGAGTGCGTGTTGCTGCTTGTGATGGTCCTTATCCTTGGTCTTGATGTTCGTGTTCACGGAACGGTCCCTGTTTGTCGGATTAGAGACTGGAATTGACACTTGCAAAGGATATACTCACCGCGTGATGGACATGTAGCGGTCTCGTATGTTCTTCTCGTGAAACTCTACACGCATGATGAAGAAGCCAGCCCCGAGCAGAGCAAACTTGATCAAGTGAACGAAATCTTCTTCAGTCACCTCTCCATCAGGGCTGCCGGCTACCACCGCAGCGCAGCCCAGCCACTTGAAGAGCTGCTTGACTGCTTGCTCCTGCTTCTCATCCTGGTACCACGCAAGCGCGAGCATCTTGTCATCTGGCTTCGTACCATGAGTCAACCAGTGGGAAAGAGTTGCAATGACCTCGGAAGCTTCGACCCGTGGTTCAGTTACGATCTGTGCTGGGTTGGTGAGCCAACCGCCGCTGGAGAAGTCGTCGTGAAGTGGCATTGGCATTGTGCTTGGGTGGTCGTCAAAGGTGGAGGTGAATTGGAATGGCGTGGGATGTAAGCTGAGCAGTGATGTGAAAGCCAGATTCTGAATGGTAAAGAAGGTCAGTCCTGAGGAGAGCAAGTGTGTGTTTAAATACTCCTCTGCAGCAAAGCCGCAAAGACAGCTGGCTCATACTCCTGAGTACTCGGCGTGACCTCATGTGTCTCTAGCTGCAACGAGGCTGGGCAATTCTGCTGCTTGCCGCAGCAGAAGCAAGACCAGCAATTTCGCTTTTCAGGATGTGTAAGGTTAGTCTGTTGGTCCTGTAAACGACTTTGAGGCCTGACTTTGAGGTGTGGCTTGCGGAAAGGCTCTCCATTGGCGATTGATGATGCCAGAACTTCCACCGCTTGGTACTGTCTCATGGATAGCCGCTGCTGCTGTTTCCCGTAATGCAAACAGTGCCTCCAGAAGTACTGGAATCGCTGCCTATGACCAAAAAGGGACACCAATGTCGCTCCCATGCAGGTATCCGCATGTAATAGAAGCAGTTCGCGATAGCCGCCGCGATGTGGGTTTGACATTCTGAGACTCTGCATTGACGCCTTCTCAGCAAGGAGTTCCGCAACAGCAAACCACTCCAATCTGCAATCTCCGCCACGTGCAGCAGAAAATCGAACGCGAATCCTGATCGTGTCGTCCTGTCAGAGCAGAATCTGGTTGCCTGCGGCCCTATGATATCGTGGATGTATTTTTGCGGACCGCAGAGATCTGAAATTCTGAGAGTGATCATCCATGGCGGCTTTGCAAACGAACCCGAAACGGCAATTTCGGGCTCGTGCAGCAATGCTCCAATGCCTGAGCTCACTGGCCGTTCCAGCTCCGAAAGAACAGTTTGACCGCCTGCGATGTCTGTTGTCGCAAAGGGGCGTCTGCTAAATGTCAGCATGCAGATCTGCGGGCTCTAGTCAGTGCGATCAGGAAATCCAGACACCCAAACCCCGCGCATTCAATGCCACCGTTTGCTGATGGCATACAGTTGGTGTTCTGATCGACCGATCGATCAAGACACCACATCCAGGCTGCCTGTGAAGCTCACAGGTCATCAAAATGATATCACACCGGCGTCGTTCCTGCATTTCCACTCAGCCGGAGCGGATCGTTTGTGTGGGCCTGAGACCAGTGATGTCGCTAAAATGATACATTTTGTCTATATGTCAGCTGCAATCTAGCTCGACTTCTGCTTCTTCCCGATGCTGACGTCCAAAGTGGCGACAACGTAGACCGCAACAAACGTGGCAACCAGGCCAGCAAAAATGACCAATGGCTTGCGCAGCATTGCGGAAGTCGTATAGTCGTACGAGACTAGGAGATCGCGGTCTCGGAACTCGTCAACGAGGTTGATTGCGGTGAGCGTGAGCTCTGTGCGGCCGATCGTGTCCATAAATGTCCTGTGGAGGCCTGTCGTGTTGGAAATGAGAGGGACGTTTGTCTCGAATTGGACGTTGCTGTAAATTTGTCAGTGACCAACATGACTGTGCCAGAAGGAGTATGCACTTACGTAGCACCTTCGGGCAGAATGACGCGCGTCACAACACGCTCATACTCCACGCCCTCCTGTTGCTTTGGTCCCTCAAGGAAGGGCACCTTCAGCACGTATCGGTCGCCAGAGGTCCTCAAGAACTTCTTGATCTGGTTGTTCCAGCCGACACGGAACTTGTACTGCCAACCGCCAAACAGCGGGTATCGAGGCTTGAGTTCCAAGTGCGCCTCCTTGGGGTTTGATCTCCATCGAGATGTCGAAACATTTCCAATGTCGTCTGTGTAGTATGGGTCGGCACTTCCAACGAGAAGAGGGAATTTGAGCTCCTTCAAGGCGCTCGATGATGGGTTGTAGTAGTTCTGCTGAGCGAACTTGACACGATCGAAGTTCTTCTTGAGCGTGGCAGCGCGGTTCGTCAAGATGTATCGCTCCTCAGTAGCAATGTTGCCGCCCCAGTGGCTGACCTCGATATCTCTTTCCAAAGACAGACCATGGGTCAATGGCTTGGTGAACTCGTAGCGCACGCTGACTTCCTGCGTCGCACCTGCCTCGCGCTCATCGTATGGCCCGTATGTGAAGCTCGATCCTTGCTTTTGAGGGTCCTCCTTGCCATCCGCGTTCAACGAAGCTGGCAATGTAACAGCATCAGGCACATCGGTGGTCGGAAGCTTGAGCTTCGTCTTCTGCTTGAGGGTCGTGTATGCGCTCGGTGCGTAGGCGGAGAACTTGTGCAGCACATACTGCTTGTCGTTCTGCTCGATCTGCGCCGGGAGAGGCTCGAGGGCGGCGAGGACGAAATAAGTGATGGACAGTGTCTGTTGCTCGTTGGGCTGGAGTGCCTTGGGCAATGTGATTTTGTAGTATTCGGTCGTGCTGTGAGATGATCAGCAAATATTCTACAGCTCCTTCGTTGCTCAATGGCATACCTCGAGGGGTCAATGCCCACTACTTCGACAGCGAAGCCGGTGTTGGCGGCATCCTTCTTGTCCTTGACCTCCAATCCGCCCACTCGGCCCAATAAGCCTTGTTCGACAGGCAGAAAGTACTCGGACTGAGCCTTGGCATCGATATTCTCAATGACCACGTTGATGGTCTCGCGCGGGTAGCTCTTCTCCAGGTTGATATTCCGCACGAGGTTCACATTGCGGAAGTGCTTCGGCGGCGCGAATGTCGAGGACAGGATGTTGCGAGACTCGTATGTCAGATTCGAATCAGCGGCGACGACGCTGGCCAGGCCGAATGCGGCCCATTGTAATAACCTCATCGTGGTGATGTTGTGGTGGGTGGCATTGATCGATCGTCGTCGCTCGTCCCTTCCTCCCCCATAGAATAGTCAAGCTAGCTGTCCTGTCCTGACAAGCTGAAAGTCTTGGCATTCGTCTTCGCGCTGCTCCACTTTCACTCCAACGTGTGATTCCGCGTTATCTCCCCTTCGCAGCGGTGTCCACATTCACCAACTCCGACAATTACACGCGTCCAGTACTAATAGTGAGGCTGATATGGCAAGTATTTGGTGTTGACTTCTCACCTTCTCAGTCTCCAGTCTTCTAGAAAGCCTCCAACTCAACAATGTTTACATCATGGATCTGTAGAGCCTGCCGCAATGGCCTTGGCCCAGTCAGAAGCCAGAGCATACAAATTACCTCACGCCGGCATCTGTCAACCAACAGCAAGTACTTTCGCGTATCTGAAGAAGTCCAGCAAGCAATTGCCGAGAAGAAGCCCGTCGTGGCATTGGAAAGCACCATCTACACCCATGGCTTCCCGTATCCGGACAATCTTGCTCTCGCATCAAAACTGGAATCACTTGTAAGACTCAATGGCGGCGTTCCGGCAACCATTGGCATCCTCGAGGGCGTGGCCAGAGTAGGCCTTGGTGCAGATGAACTCGTGCGACTTGTGTCTGCCCCAGCCGCCAAAATCTCAAGACGCGACTTTGGCTTCGTCTTAGGCCTCAAAGATGCTGAGGGCAAAGCACTGAACGGCGGCACGACTGTCTCCGGTACCATGATCCTTGCGCATATGGCTGGCATCAGAGTCTTCGGCACAGGAGGTCTTGGCGGCGTGCACAGAGGTGCTGAGCAGACCATGGACGTTTCTGCCGACCTCACAGAGCTCGGTAGAACTCCTGTCGCGGTCATCAGTTCCGGTTGCAAGTCATTCCTTGACATCCCGAAGACGCTAGAGTACCTGGAAACGCAAGGCGTTGCAGTAGCGACGTTTGCAGATGGTCGGGCCGGAAAGGTCGACTTTCCTGCATTCTATACTCGCGACTCTGGTGTGAAGTCGCCACAGGTGCTGCAGACTGAGGAAGATGCTGCGCGGATCATTTTGGCACAGCAAGCACTCGGCCTGCAGTCTGGCTTACACTTTGCGAATCCCATCCCAGAGCAATATTCAGTTCCGTTTCAACAAATGGAGGATGCGATCCACCAAGCTTTACAGGATGCTTCGGGCGCTGGAGCCAAGGGAGCTGCAATCACGCCCTTCATTCTGGACAAGATCAAAGAGATCACTGGTAGCAAGAGCGTAGAGGCCAACAGGGCCCTGGTGGAAGCCAATGTGGTAAGGGCGGCGAAGGTAGCTGCAGCGCTGCAGAGGCTGGAGGCTGGAGAATTGAGCGGAGCAGAGTGAGTGGGTCTGGGTAGCTCGTAGAAGAGCATGTAGTAACATCGTACTCAGTGCCTCTCATTCGAACGCGGCGCAGGTGACTGGCCCCGCCGCTAGCAATTACACCAGTAATGGAGTGTCCGTTGGCGTGGCTTCAAGTTCTCCCGGCGATGCTCGCTCTTTCTCACAGCACGAGAAGAATACGATGAAGGGCATGCGGAAGAGAGGCTCCTCTTATCAGGAGATTGCCGCGAAGTTCAACGCCGAGCAACACATCGCAAGCGTCATTGAGGCTGTACGAGACTCTCCGAACCGACTGGCATTTGGCGGAGCAGTATCACCACACCCAGAGCCTACAGAATCCACGCCACCCGAGACCAAAGCATCTGTGTTCGTTGCTGGCAGTCTTGCAGTCGATCTCGCCTGCGACTTTAATCCGAAAAACGGCTCCTCCTTGCAGTCACCAGAGTTGAACACATCGAACCCAGCCGAGATCATGCAATCGCTCGGCGGAGTTGGCCACAACGTCGCGCGCGCGGCTCATCTCATGGGCGCAAATGTCCGCCTCTGCAGCGCCATCGGCGACGATCTCACAGGCAAAGCCGCATTAGAAGCCCTCTCAGCAGCCGAAATGTCCACCGAAGGCATCAAGACCTTGCCATCCTCCAGCGAAACCCGAACAGCACAATACATCGCCGTAAACGACAAGAACAAAGACCTCGTCCTCGCAATGGCAGACATGAGCATCCTCGAAACCCCCTCAACCAAAACCTCCATTTTAAACGACACATTCCAAAACTTCTGGCTCCCTCAACTCCACTCCCACAACCCCTCCCACCTCGTCCTAGACGGAAACTGGAGGCCCGAATGCCTCGCCCACTGGCTCTCTTCCACCAAAACACCATCCTCCCAGGATAAACCCCACATAACCTTCGAACCCGTCAGCACAAGCAAAAGCACAAACCTCTTCCACCTCCCCCCAAAACTCCACACCCTCTCCACCTTCCCCAACAACTCCATCGACCTCACAACCCCCAACGCCTACGAACTAAACGCAATGTACACCGCCGGCCGCTCAACCGGAACCTTCGATTCCAAATCCTGGTGGTCCATCATCGACGCCCTCGGAATTCCTCACAGCGGCGCTCGAGCACAGATGACATTCGCTACGAATCGTCGTCTGGTCGATGAAGGGATTCCGCAGCAGACGATTCAGTTATTACCGTTTATTCCTACTGTTTGCTGTAAACTTGGTGCGGAAGGAGTGCTGTTGACGCAGCTTCTGCCGGCTGGAGATGAGAGGTTGAGTGATGGGGCTTATGCGCCGTATATTTTGTCGAGATGCGCGAATGGGACGGAGGAGAGTGTGGGTGTTGGGGGAGTTTATATGCGGTTGTTTCCCGCGGTGGAGGAGGTGAAGACGGAGGATGTGGTGAGTGTGAACGGCGTGGGAGATACGTTTGCAGGGACGATTGTGGCAGGTTTGGCTGGGGCTGCGGAGAAGGGAAAGACAAGTGCGAGAGTGGAGGATTTTATTGATGTTGCGCAGAGGGCGGCGGTGTTGACGTTGAAGAGTAAGGAGAGTGTTAGTCCAGGTTTGGGGACATTGAGGTTGTTGTTATAGGGCGGGAGAAGAAGAGAGATGTTGTGTATATTGGCAGTTTCATATTGACTGCATAGTCGTTTCTCCAAACATAAGAGGGTATCGTGTGTGAATATTAGCAATGATATGGTTCAAACCAACGCCCGCTCTCCGAGTCCTGTTTACGCCCAATAACGCTCAGCCCAAGGGTATCCAACCAGTCATTAGCAAATCACAGATCGTTACAATCGTGCAGCATCTCGTCATGATGTGCCATTACTCCTCCTCCCAGACAACATTATGTGCGAAATCCCTCGCCTTCTCTCTTCTGATCCTCCCTGCAAGTTGCGGAGTCCACATACCCAAGAATAGCGCCTCTCTCTCATCCTCGTCCTCACTATCAAATTCCAGCTCCTCTTTCGGCATCGTCAACTCTGTCGGTGGACAAGCCGCGGCACTACTTCGCCTTCTCAGACTGTCCCTTCTCACATCATCCAGCAAGCCCTGCTCGTCAACCGTATCGGTAGTCTCCCACGTACTTGATCGGCAAACACGCTTAGTTTCGAGGATGAACTTTCCGATCTTGTACTTTTGCGATTCGTCTTCGGCGTGAATGTACTTCCATCCGAGCACTGAACCGCATTGCGAACAGGAGATATCTCCGACGGTGTGAGCGCCTGTGACGAGCTGTCGAGGAACGGGCTTGTGGGTGTAGGTGTTTGGTAAGTTGGGGAGAGCATCGTTGCGCGCTTTGGCAGTCATGTGAGAGGATGTGGGAATTGAGCTGGCCGATATGGCGCTTGTTGAAGGAGCTACGAGATAGGCGCGTCCATGTCTGCCGGTGAAGCCTTTGGAGATGATCTGGCTGCTGAGCGCGAGATCGGAGAGACAACGGGCACAGCGGAGGTGTGAAGCATGACCGGCTAGATATGTGTCGTCTGCGGTGGATGTGGAGCTGGTAGTTAGATTGGAGCTGATGGAAGCATTGCTATCGGTGCTCGATTTCCGTTTCCGGAACGGTAGCGATGGGACGAGGTAAGTAGGAAACAGCGCGGGGGCGGAGGCAATCGACGAGAATGGCATATCGCCGTGTCGACCTAGGTGAAGTGCGAAGAAGATGAGCGCGAGGAGTGGTAGATTGTGCGACAGATATGCCGCGAGCCAGTCTAGGATGAGCTTCTACCAGACCATAGTCTTGCTGCTGCTGTAGGGAATCTGTCGCGGACGTAGGGATATCGGAGTGTCTGTGGTGCTGTGAGTCAGGCCGGTATACGATGCTTTGCCCTGCTGGCAACCTGCAAGGTAATTGAGAAGGTGAGCGAGGTTTTGATCCGCCCTTTCCCACAGCCGCGCAGTGCTGCGATATGCGGACAGATCGGGTGATTCAACGAGCACATGATTGCCTGACCGCCCGTAAGTCCGCAGGTCATCTGCGCCGGCAGAGCTCGCATCGTCATTTGGTTCAGCTGCAGTGAGCTTGGGAAGCTTGTCCTGGAGGTGCTGTGGTTGGAGAGAGGGGCATAGCGCCGGCTACTGCCTGAATTTCGGCTATAAACCGGCATCACGTCCGGCTGCTGCTGTTGCATGTCAACGATTTCTCACTGACAATGTGAGTGGTCAACATTGGCATTTCGCATGCAGCTTCGGGTCATACTGTTCACGGCATTCTGGCCACACAGAGCTCACAATCGTAGTCTCGCACCGCACAGCACTGGCAGCAGAGCCTCCCGAGACTATCGACTCCGCCAGTGTTTCGGTGACTTCGACATAATCCGCCAAACAGTGAGCAAGACGTTCTGTCGCTCGCATCAGAGTAGATGAGTATTGAGCTGCCATTCCTGTCAGACACGGCATCTCGTCATTGGGCTTGAGGAATCGAAGACATTGAAAGTAGAACTTGTTAGCATTTTGAGAAGGCCGCTGTCGAGTTTGGCAGCTGCCATTCGTAAAGTTCCTGGTCAGGCTTGATAGGAAAGTGCAGCAAAGTCGCGCTTGACAGGTAGGATTGGGAACAGTCCTTGCGCAGTCACGTTCAGGCAACTACTTCAAGCACTCGCTCGACCTCGCACAGCTTTTCACTGTCAACTTGTTGCCAGACATCAAACGCATCTCCCAGCCATGGCTACGGCTGTAGACGCAGTCTTCGACACCGCCGAACTGCTCGAGGCTATTCTCTCGGAGCTCGAACCCAAGGACCTCCTTCTGTCGCAGCGTGTCAGCAAGACATGGAAGCTCGCCATAGCAGCTTCTCGTGGACTGCAAGAAGAGCTGTTTCTACGTCCGATCAAAGTAGTCCAAGCGGCAAACATCGTTCTGTACGCTGGCATGTCTGTCAGCACATCATTGGGCACTTACTTTTGACTGACGCTGGAAAGATATGTACATGATGCTCGTCGGCTGTTACATGAGTTCTAACCCGGCGCCTTCTCCAATGTTGCGCAATCCCTTCGTGCGCAGAGGCCAGATTGACACAAGAGAATTTCCTCCAAGCTCAAACCCAAAGATCACTCCATCATGGCGCAACATGCTCGTCTCTCAGCGTGCACCATACAAAGTAACGCTCACGATTGGTGAATTACTGGAGCACTTCGAGACTTCCATCACGAACGCGAAAGGCGTACGTCTTGGCCAGGTCATCGACGAGCTGAAGATGCTTGAAAGACGGTTTTACAGAGAGTGCGGGGCTTTGACACCAGTGTCATTCCGCCAACGAGCGACGGAGTCGGCAACCAACATAACGCGGAGGGCCTGAAGGAAAAAGACGCAATGTGCGAGATGCACTATCTTCAAGCGTCTTGGTAAATAAATTTGCGTGCTGAGGCTCACCACCTTGAGTGCTGGGAGACAACATCTCGATGTGAGGCGGCGAGCGCGGTCTGGCTAGGAGGTCGCAACATCATGTTCTCGGCAGATGTGCGCTTCTGATGAGGTTGTTGATGTGCCTCATCGCGACTGCGTCAAGACGTTCATTATCAGCTCTGATGAGTCCAAGTGGTCAAAGATCCAGCTATCGTGGCTGTTCCGCCTTCCAATGGTATCCAGTGCCAGATTACCGCTCAGTCCAACGTCGCTGCCTCGATGATGAGCTTCTTCAGCCTCTTGTCTGCTGCAAGCTTATCCACCCGCTTGCTTTTTCTCCCACTCTTCAGGTGTAAAACACTTGGGCGTCCAGGCATGTATGGCAGCGATCTCGGCTTTCAGCGTATTATTAACGAGTCGGTGCCGTGCTAATGTCGTCTTCTTTGCGAATTGCGGTGATACGATTATGGCTTCGAACATTTGTCCGCAGCCGCCTACGACCTTCAGTATCTTCACTATACCAATTGCTCAAGCCATCACCGTACCTGAGAGATCTGCAATATCAACATGCACAGCTTCCAGCTTCTCTTGCAGCGTTGCCCGCAACGTCTCTGGCGTCACCCCTGAGTTCAGCTGGTTCTGCTCAGCCTCAGCATCGGTCCTGGCACTCATGACGAAGTCTTTCTCGCGTTGTCCAGTCGTTCTCGTCGAAGCTCGTCTACGCTTTAGTGGATGTTGATGGAGGGACATGGTGACGTGAAATTGAAGATGTCATGCGAGATTATCTTATCTGATTGATTGCCGAAAGTCAAAGCTAAACCGGTTGCGCGGCTCTGGTGTGCCTCGACTGCCAGGATTGTTGCGCGCTCTCACTCGTGTCTCGAAGCTGTTCCTGCATCATCAGCAAATCCTCTGTATGTTTGCGACGACAGCACAGAGAGCTTACAGCAGGATGGCACAATCTACGATGGCTTCGCCCTACAGCTGGGCAGTCGTCAATGCCATGCGAAAGCTGTACCCAGAAGCACTGGCCGACAAGAGCTTCGATAACACTGGCTGTGCGTAGCATTCAACACCTATGCCTAGCATGCTGTAGCTCATATTTCCTAGTACTCCTCGAATCGCCCTTCGATCCCATCCGCCGACAGATGAACTCTGTACTACTCACAGTCGATCTTACGAAAGCCGTCGCAGACGAAGCCATTGAGCGACAAGACTCCATCATCATCGCATATCGTATGTTCCGTGAACTCGATTAAAACCACATATCAGCCTGACTGGAGCTGAAGCGTAGATCCCATCATCTTCAGAGGACTCAAGAGCTTGACATTGGGCGACACTCAACAACAGACCCTACTTCGACTAGCAGCCGAAGGCATTAGCGTCTACAGTCCACACACAGCAGTTGATTGCGCTCGTGGGGGTCTTGGAGATTGGCTTGCGGACATTGTCACTGGCACTCCTACTGGACTGTCAGATATCGAGGATGAAGGCGATGCCTCGCCCCAGAAGTCACCAACGAAGGAACAGCCGCCAGCGATCGATGGAGAGGAAAAGCCTTCGTCCCTGAAGCGGCCCACTTACACACTGCAGCACCACCCATCTCAACTTGACCTGAACGATCGCGCATTGAAAATGGGCGACTCTGGACATAAGCGCTACCCGATCGTGAAGTCTCAAGTAGAAGGCCATGCCGGCGCAGGCATGGGCCGCATCATTCGTTTCGCAGAACCCGTGCCTCTTCTCGAAATCATCGATCGCATAGGTCTAGGAATGGGTAGCCCCAAAGGCTTTGCCCTTGCTGTCCCACAAGGCAAGCAGGCCTCAGACATGACGATCAGCAGCATTGCACTGTGCGCAGGTTCCGGAGATAGCCTCTTCTCGCAAGCAGAGAAGAACGGCGAAGACGTCGATCTCTATTTCACGGGCGAATTGTCGCATCACGAAGCGCTTGCGGCTATTGAGAAGGGGAAGTGCGTTGTCATGCTGTTCCATTCGAATACGGAGAGAGGGTTCCTGCACAGTGTGCTGAAGGTACAGCTGGAGAAGGCTGTGGGTGAAGAGGTTAGTTTGACTTCCCTTGTGATGATCAGAATGCTGGTGGCTAACGTTGGTCTAGTGGGAGAAGATTCGCAATGAGGAGCGCGGCAAGGGAAATCTCAGTGAAGATTACTTGGAAGTGCTGAATGATTCGAGCAGCGAGATTCATGTCAGCGAGGTTGATCGTGATCCTTATGGTATCATGATTTCGAAGGACGAGATTTGAGCGACGGCGCGAGCGGCGAAGAGTGCAGACGCTGCGTTTTGTGCATGAGAAAGAGTACGGGGAGCGCCGCCGCAAGACGATTGCCGCGTCGTACCTCATTGACTCGTTGGGACGACGTCCATTTGGGATTGTCGCTATCAGCGTCTGTCAGTGATACAGGTCGAACTTAGAGGCATGAAGTAGTCCATGAAACGACAGAAGTCGACTTCGAATCTGCACTCAATCTCCCAATTCGCATGCATTTGGCATTCCTTTCTCTGCTCGCATGATCCAGAGTTTCCTTCTGCAGTCTCTCCGCACAATCCGTGAAGCGATTATCGGAAGCGTTGAACAGGATCGCTGTTTCGAGTGTCAATTGCAGCAGGTATCTAAGCTGCCTAGGTCGTGGTCATTCCCGCCCGGCTGCATTTTCGGCAGTCCATAACGCCCGATGCTCAATGCACAACCATCTCCCGTTCCCACGCGCAAGGCGATTCGTATCTAGAAACCTGTCCGAGTGTTAGCACCACTGTCCCAATTCTTTCACCACTTCGTCCCTAGGGTATCACATACGGAGAGGAGTGAAGAACCATCTGTTCTTGCCGCTCGAGTAGCGCTCCTCCAATGCCTTCTTCACGGTCTTCTTTGCCTCCTCACGCTGAGTGACCTCAGTGAAAGTCTCGTTGGTCACGGCGCCCTTCAATCCCTCCAACTCCAGAGTGTAGCGGGTTGGCATCAAGTGGTTGTAGTTGATGACCTTGATGAATGGCTTCACCTTGCTGCGCTTCGTCTGGCGGGTCTTGGACATGCGGCGAGTGATTTGTTGTGGGTAGCGCTCGATACCGGCAACGATTGCGTGAGGGAATGGGTGCTTCTTGCTGCCATTGTCCTGTGGCTGGATGATCACCACCTTCTTTCCGGCGTAGCGTCCACGGGAGATGATGGCCTGTAGAGGGAGCGGTACGTTAGTTTTGCGGTGCTCATTGCGCTGTGGTGCGGTCTCTGCTGCGGAAGGAAATGTTTCGCGTGCGATGGGTGTTCGAACGTACCACTCGGCCGACCTTGAGGACTGCAGAAATGTCAGCACATCGTTCATATCACTCGCCATCTTTGCGTGCACTCACACTTCATTCTGGCTGCTGTGTTGTTAGTACGGGCAGTTCCTTGTCGCAAAGTCCAGTCGTCGTAGCAGATTTCGAGATGTCCTTTCCACAAGCGTGCGCATGCCAAGCGAAGGAGAAAGCGGCCAATCACGTGGAGTCGGCGCTTCGAGGCAAAAAGTGCCGACGTGACGCTAGCGAACGAGCTCCATTTGGCTCGCGTCGCGTTCAACTTTGGGACGCTCACGTCGAGCAGTACAGAAATGTCTCGAGATTCGTCACAGGAGCCACACCGGCGCTCGCCCAAGCGACGACGGCTGTCATCACAGGATATCAGTACGCCGCAATACGACGCAGCAGGCGATCCGCAACTCAACTACGCATACGATGATGATGTTACCAGCGATGCATTCCATACGCCGAAGCAGGACAGCGAGGAGGAGGGGTTGGACACAAAACCACAACCTGTCGAACGACCACGGAGGTTGAACTATGTCTTGCATATGACTCTGCGAGGCCACAAGCGAGGGGTCGCAGCCGCCAAGTTCTCTCCGGACGGCAAGTGGATAGCAAGTTGCTGTAGGCGCATTCGCAATCCGAAGTGACAAGAACGCGAGCTGATCTGTTGGTGTAGCGGCCGACAGCACCATCAAGATTTGGAATGCAGAAACGGGAGCGATTTTGCAGACGTTGGAGGGGCACATGGCTGGTATATCAACGATCGCATGGAGCCCCGATTCGAAAGTGATCGCATCTGGATCAGACGACAAGATCATCCGGCTCTGGGATATTACTACTGGCAAATGCCTTCACCAATCACTTATCGGACACCACAACTATGTTTTTAGCATAGCGTTCTCGCCGAAGGGCAACATGCTGGTATCCGGGTCATATGACGAAGCTGTGTTCTTGTGGGATGTGCGGACAGCACGACTGATGAGGAGTTTGCCCGCACACTCAGATCCAGTCAGAAGTGTCGACTTTGTGAGAGACGGTACATTGATCGCCTCCTGCTCCAGTGACGGCCTGATCCGAATATGGGACACTGCCACTGGACAATGCCTGAAGACGCTCATTCACGAAGATAATGCGCCTGTGACCAACATCAAATTTTCGCCGAATGGCAAGTACATCCTAGCAAGCTCGCTCGACAACTCTGTACGTCTATGGGACTACGTGACTGGAGACTGCAAGAAAACATATCAAGGCCACAAGAACGAGAAGTTCTGCATGCACGCTGCTTTTGGCACATATACTGTAACACCCCTCTCCGATGCACAAAACGGCGATGCTGAGGCTGGAACGTATCGGCACGAACAGAAGTGGCCATTTGCTATGAGTGGTAGCGAAGACGGCAAAGCCATCGTCTGGGACGTCAATTCCAAGGAGATCATGCAAGAATTGGCTGGCCACGAAGGAGCGGTCCTAGGAGTAGACTGTGCTCCTGACAAAGAGACTATTATAACCTGCGGAGTTGACAAGACTATCAAGGTGTGGAGGCGCCAGGCTCTCGCGCCAGAATTGCTCACCAACGGACATGAACCTCACAACGTGCCCGACACACTTGCACTGGATTCAGCTCCGGCCTCTGCAGCGCCGTCAAGGCCGAAGACTCCTGATGGAGATACCGAAATGGCCTAGGAGGAAGCTATCTCGAAATCATCGGATATGAGTTCCGGTGAGGATGGTCCTCTGGCGACCAGGACATTGCCGCAGAAGCAGCTTCGCACAGCGCATAAGGGAAGCGGACGAGAAGTAGTGCAGTCAGCACATGCGTCCGCTAGTGACGCTCCACTTGAGACTGTGTCGCACGACCGCCATGTCGTCGTCAAAACTGCAAGAAAGAAAGCAGTGCCCACGCCGCGCTCTCCGCCAGGATCGTCATTATCACCGCGTTTACCCGCATCTAGCGAAGACCGCTCAAGTAATACCGACACTGTTATTGCAACAGGCTGGCGAAGGCTATCAAAAGCGCCACAATCCGTGGCAACCATCGAGCACGAATCGAGTGACAGCAGCGTTGATGTCCGAATGAGAAGGAAGAGGCCCACAAGGGTACCAGTCTCTGGTCACCGTAATCGTCGTTACCAGCCTTCTCCTCTATCGGGTGCGTGCAGGAAACCAGCATCCTCAAAACTGCCCGATAAAGAATTTGCGGGCAATAATGTGTTCACGTGCGGTGGACGTGACGATCACTTCGGTGGAGGTCGGCCACTCAGATATGGTGATTGGCCGCGGAGACCATGGCTTCGATGAGAAGTATAGTCTACAGAGTGTAACGGCCAAGCTAACGAATGACAACCAGTTTACTACTCGAGAAGACAACAAGTCTGATTCTCACTGTTGAGAATATCGTAGAGCTACGGCAGTGATCAATGGATCACGGTATAAGCACGAGGGGTCATCGAGTATCAGACCTCCGCGTCGTATCAGATAGAAATCAAGAGCCCATTGCGACCTCTTGAGCAGCAACGAGTTTTACATCGAATTGTGCTTGCCTCGAGTCGACTCACGTGCACGCGCGAAGTAGCGTAATTTGACCCCTGTTGAACTTTAACCCGTCCCTTCTGCCTGCCGCGTCGCGAAGCCAGATGTCGACCAACACTATGTCACCATTGTGTCTTGTACACTTTGGAGAGTATCGATGCATTGCGCTGACCGCAAGCACAAGCGACGATTGACTGAACACGCAAGTGAGCTGATCAGTGCTCGCAGACGCTAACAGAGCCTTGATCTCGGTCTCACAGTTGCATTGGTACAAGTCCGATCGTGTTGCAACACAAGGAGACTCGAATACGCTCTTTACCCTCACAATCCAAGTGCAATGCCTTCAATTGATGACGAGTTCGGCCTCTCATCTGGCGATGAAGCGGATTTGCTCGGTCTGGACGAGAATGTCCCGCCCACGACCAAGCGCAAGCATGAGGACGAAGACCTTCAAGTGGCAAAGAAGCCTCGGACCACATCCACGTCTTTGCGCGCCATTGAAGTTGCCAACAAGGTCTTGAAGCAGAATTTCGGAATGACATCCTTCCGCCTGAAGCAGGAACAAGCGATAGCAAGACTGCTCGACAGTGATGGCGGCAGCGCTGTTGTGGTATTTCCTACAGGCGGCGGAAAGTCCCTCTGTTATCAAGTACCAGCTCTCTGTTTCAAAGAAATGGATCGCCTTGCCGGTGTGAGACAAGGCTATGCAGAGAGCGGCATCACTCTCGTGGTTTCACCACTAATTGCTCTGATGAAGGATCAAGTCGACGCTCTCCAACGCAGGAATATCAGTGCAGCAGTCCTGGATTCCACCAAGACCAAGGAGGAATACCTGCAAACTGTAGAGGCGATGCGGAATGGAACACTCGACATTCTGTACTGCGCACCGGAGCGACTCAATAACGAAGGTTTTGTTGCGTCAATGGCCAACGTCAAGGGCGGAGTAAGGCTCCTCGCCGTGGACGAGGCTCACTGTATCTCTGAGTGGGGACACAGTTTTCGGCCCGATTATTTGAAAGTTGCTCGCTTTGCTCAAGAGATCGGGGCAGAGAGGGTGATTTGCCTAACGGCAACAGCTACCCCAGCGGTAGCCAAAGACGTGTGCAGGGCATTTGACATTGACGAAGACGGGCTCTTCAGAACTGCCACTTACAGGCCGAACCTCAAACTGAAAGCTCGATCATATCAAACAAAGAAAGAGTCATGGCCTCAACTGGACGCGTTTCTGCGGAAATATCCCGGTTCCACGATCATCTACGTGACAACTCACAAGCAAGCCGAGGATCTTGCAGAGCAGTTGCGAAAGCGCAAGTTCAAAGCTGATCATTTTCATGCAGGAATGAAGACTGAAGAGAAGATGAGGATACAGGACAAGTTCATGGCATCCAAGGATCACATCATTTGCGCCACTATTGCGTTCGGCATGGGCATCGACAAGGCCGATATCCGGAACGTAGTCCATTATGATATTCCAAGGAGCCTCGAAGGATATAGTCAAGAGATTGGCAGAGCTGGAAGAGATGGCCTTGACTCACAATGCGTGGTATTCCTGTGCGCAGAAGATCTACACCTTCGAGAGAGCTTCGCACGAGGTGATCTCCCAAGTCGCCAATCTGTCTTTGGCTTCCTGCAAAGTCTCTTCTCGCACAAGGAGAGCGATGGAGTCATCGAAGTCAACTCGTACGCCATGTCCAAAGACTTCGACATCAAACCAAACACTGTCGGAACTCTCTTCGCCGCTCTGGAGTTACGCTTCAAACTTTTCAGAGCGATCACGCCGAAGTATACCAAGTACCAATACAAGGCGCTGAAGTCCACAAATCATGACCAGACTCCAGCAGCAAGAGCTCTTCGTGCTCATGCCCGAGCTTCGAAAGTATGGACACATGTCGATGTGGATACCGCTGCATACCAAAGCCGCGTCGATCGAACTGCACTTGTCACTAAGCTCAATGAGTGGCAGGACAGCCGACTCATCGAATTGCAACCCGGAGGCGTCATGAACGTGTTTCGCATCTTGACCGAAAAGTGGCCTCCGCCTCCCTCGGAAGCCGAACGCCTTACTGAAGCACTCTACAAGGACCTCGTGCTCCGAGAACAACAGGAACTTGCTCGCATGCAACAAGTCATGGATCTCATAACAGGGAAAGCATGTTTCGCACGTGTTCTCGCTTCACATTTCGGCGACACACTGCCCAATAATGCTCAAGAATGCGGGAATTGTACGTGGTGTCAAACGCATGATACAGTGAAGTCAGTTGCACCGCCAAAGAGGGCATGGGACTCGAAGGCGTTTTATGCAGTGCTGGCAGCGACCCCTGATCGGGACGATGCGAGATATCTCGCGCGGATAGCGTTTGGTATCAAGAGTCCGAGAGTCACGGCGGCAAAATTGGGGAACCACGCCGCTTTTGGCTCGATGGAGGATCATGATTTTATGGTATGTGCATCATTTTGACTGAGCTATTGTAGACCAGACCCAGGCTGACAGTACCTTGCAGACTCTTCTCAAGGCGTTTGAAAAGGTTTGCGATAAGTGAGAGGCAAACTCACCTGTACCGGGAGCCGAAAGCAGAGAACTCGTCGCGTTCTGCCGGGTGGACTGGCTTCACCGGAATCGTTCTCGAATGAGCTGCGAAAGTGCCGAGCGGAAGCGGATTTACTGAGCTGTCAGTTTCACGAATCACTCTTTTCCTTATGATATGAGCAGCGCGCGCGCGGAAGCGCAGTACTCGTTCAGGAGACCGCGGCAGAACAAGAGCAAAAAACAACCAAATAATGTTAATACATCAATATGTATATTCTGAAACTCCGATAAATGTTCAAACGACCGTACCCACCACCAATGCCACCAACCATTAAACCTCATGTTGCATCGTCTCATCATAAACTCGTAAACCTCGTCACCTCTATCTTGAATCCTCGCAATCCATTCCCGCTCTTTACTGGTATCGATCAATTCCCCGCTCTATACTCATCATATAAAGCCCGCGCCCGTTGTGCCTGCCCATCAGTGAATTCGTACAAACATTGATCGTAGCTGTAATCCATGTAATTGTGAATGGAATCGTCGCCGGGTTCTGGAGGAGTTGTGTTAGAATGATCCGGTGTCTTTCTTGGGAGGGAAAGAGAGAGGTGGAGGGAGAGTGAACTTACGATCTGGACAACTATCTTGTTTGCTGGGACATCCGAATGTAGCTTGACTTTGGACGGGAGTGTCAGAGACGAAGTCCCCGCTTCCGGTGCAGGAGTTGCCGTCGAAGACGTGGTAGAGGCCGAACCACTGTTGCAGGATGTGTTAGTTTCTTGTGAGCTTCGAACATCAAGGTAGGAGGAAGTGGTGTTTGTTGGGAGGGAAAGAAAGAAAAACTTACATGTCCCACTTCATGCACAGCTGTAAGTCCCATATTATAATTCGTCGCTTCAGCTCCTGGCAGCGAAGCTGCAAGATTGATGCATCCATCAAGAACTCTCGTTTGTCGCGAAGGAGATTCTGTTGGGAAGTAACAAAAACCTAAGAGCCCGTCGCCCAAATCGGAGAGGAAGTACAAGTTTAGATCGGCGTAGGAGCCCATGTGGAGGGCTTCTTTCATTTGGCTTTCTTCGTCGCCTCCGGCTGATGCTGCGGCCCAGTCATCTTGAACGGTGAAGTCAGAGCCAGCGAGGTTGAAGGTGAAGCCCATTGAAGAGTAGGCGTCGTTCATGACAGTCAGTTGGTCCTCGATCATGCTTTCGGTGTAAGTGTCGCGTTTGGATTCGGTGGTCACTACATGGATGTATACGTCGATTTGGCGCTCGGCTTTGTATGTGTAGTTTCGCTGGGATGGTACTCTGTCGAGGAGAGTGCGTTGGTTTGCATCAGGTTGAGTGGCGCAGCGGGTGTATGGATCATCTTTGAGGTTGTTCTTGGCTGGGCTGGGCGGAGAGGACGAAGGACTGCTTTTTGAACTGGTCTGAGCGGGAGCTTTTGCTATTGTGCTTGTCGAGGCGGTCTCTTCCAAGACTTCTGGTTGCGCTTTTGCTGTCGATGTTGCCTTTCTGTGAACGGCGCTGGTGGGCAGAGTTTCTGCTTGGACGGTCTTTAATTCTTGTGCGGAGGAGAGAAGTGCAATGCAAGCAGGGAGAATGTAAGTGGAGAACTTCATGGTGCCAGACTGTACAGTTGCTCCTGTGGTAGACAAGGCTCGTGTTTTGGTGCTGATGAGAAGATTGTTGACAACCTACATGTGTTGTTTTAATGTCTACAGTGCTCTGCGTGGCAGCCATCAGCTCGTGTTGTTAGCCATTGAGTGCTGGAGAGGACAGAAAATGGCTGTGTGAGCGTTTAACATGAAGCGAACAGCTGACGAATGCTGCTGGTTGTCGAGAGGACGTTGCCATGTGCGCTGGGGCCGTTGACACCGCCACAGACGTTGTTGAAGATGATGCGTCCGATCCAAGCGTGTATCGCGATGTGGCGCAAAGGTGAGAACGGTCGCCGTTTTGCCGTTCGCACTCGTCTAAGCTTCATTTGACCCATCGAAGAAAAGTGGAGACTCCAACGACATGAAGTGATCCGCATTCCGCATAACCTTACGTCTTTCTGAAGAAGAAACGGGCTGTGGAGCCACCAAGCTGACCGTCTGCAATATGCATGTGGGCTGGCTCCCCTTCATTGCTTTGCGAAACGTTAGTACACGAATCGCTGTTTTTGGGCTTCGCGAAAGCCACTCTGCGCAGTATGTGAGGATGACGGTTGAGGCTGGTGCATCGTCGTCGTGTCTGGCCAGGAGCGACTCATGAGCGGTGGAAGGCAGGCGTGGGGTGCGTGAAGATGATGTCGACGGTGCGAGTAATTCACTGGCACGAGTGCTGCGAGCGTGTCATGCTCCGATCGACGAGTGAGGTCACTTTCCCGTCTCATTTCTCAGGCGCAGGGGTGTAGGCTTCTGGACTTTTTCCAAATGTCGGCCATTTCGGCCATGCGTCTCATAGGGCTGTCCGGGATGGCGACGGACTATTGCCAGCTGCTATTTGTGGCTTTGTCGGCGACGCAATGGAGGTGTCGCTGTCGACTGTGAGTGCACTGTGAGATGTTGCCCTGCTCGAGACGTTGGAAGAGCAGGACGAGGAAGACAGAAGGTGACAACGCGTGCGGTTCGCGAAAGAGGCAGACCCTGGCGGGCACGCGTGCTCGAGCAGCGCAACGCGCCGAGGCTAGCATCACGACAAAGTTTCAGAAGTAGAGTTCATGTCGATCCCCCCTTCCGCCGCTGCACAGCAACCAACGCCCAAACGACCGCCGGGCGTGTGACATGCCGCTGCTCTGCGCTGTCCGAGTGACTTGTCGTGACGGGACCACCAGCTGACAGCAGCAGAATCTTCCGTACGTACACCAAGAATAGGCGTCGACAGGGGCCTGGCAGCACGGGGATAGCCCTGCGCCGATTCACTGCCGCATCCACGTCCTCTGCACAACACCCACTCTCGCCATTGACTGGACACGTCGACGAGGCTGGCCACGCTGTCCCACCACCTGACCTCCCCCAACGGCGACAATGGCAGCCACTGCTGCTGAGACATCGCCCGTCTCGAATGCCACTTCGCCTGCCTCCCGCTCGTCGTCACCTTCGCCCTCCGTCGATGCCTCACTAAGCATCGATGCTGTGCCCAAGTCGGAGCGATCCGTGTCCACGCCGGCCAGCTCCATCAGCGGCGGCGAGGGCTGCGAGTCACAGCTCTCCATCTCCAGTCGATCAAGAAATTCCCGCCTGAGTGATGGCAGTGCCACAGTGGTGCGGAGGAGGGGCTACATCCGCCCACAGGGCACCGTGTCTGCCGACAGCGCGAAGAATCGGGACAGTGTCATGAGCCTGGGTAGCATTGCTCACATGCAGTACTACTTCGCCCGAACTGGCTTGCTGGACGGCAAGGGAGCTCAATTGGCCAGAGAGGATGATCGAAAGAAGAAGGGATTCTTGCGGAAGGGTCGAGAGATGGGTGGGCTTAATGAGCCCTCAAATATCGAGGCCAGCATGAGATCGATGAGCGGCAGCGAGTTGGATCGCGCCAACGTGTATCTCGACGATAGCTATGCATCGTCGTATGCCGCCTCGGACTCTGGCTTGGATCTTTCGATTTCCGAAAGTCCGACTGAAGCCGAATTTGGAGAGCTCTGGGATCCGAGTGACCCAACGATGCTGCCACCCACAGTCAGCACCTACAAAGTCAAGCCCGAAGTCACCGAGCCACTCCCAGACATGCCTGTTTTGCGCCGCGAATTGAAGGAGGCTTTACAGGACGCATGCAAAGCGTTAGAGGAATCGCAAAACAAGCCAGCTTCGGCGGACACTGCTGCTGCCACTGCTAGCAGTGCCTATCACGAGATTCAAGGTCTGCACATTCTCGACATCATCACATTGGCTATACGAGCCGCAAAGAACTACTACACTTCACATGTCAACCCGCAAAAGCTTTTCGCCCTCAAACCGGAGCGTGAATTACGAAAGGATCTTTATAATACTCTGGACACTCTAAAGCGCATGGCCAGTCGCAATTTCAGAGGCGGCATTCGCGAGTTGGAGCTACTGGAAATCATTTGCTGGATTGAGTCCATCGACAAGCTGATCAAGGCCGAAGAAACTGCAGAGCAAGAAGAAGCTGCAGAGCGTGAAGCCATGGTCTGGCGAGAAGGTGACTGGACAGGCAAAGAGAGGCAACGAGAGTGGCTGTTCATCAAATCTTTCGATAAGGACGAACCGGCATTGCCTGAATGGCCCGAATCGTCGCCCGATCAGAAAATGCCGACCGAGTTCCTGAAAGCCTTCCAAGATGGCGTTCGCCTGGTGAAACTCCACAATGCGTGCGTGGCGAAATCAAAACGGAAATTTGATGTGATCAAGACATTCCACACGGATGTGAGCAAGCCGTACCGAGTCGCAGAAAACCTAAAATTTTGGGCCAAAGCGGGTGAAATCCGATGGGAGACAAAAATAGAGATTCCGGCTCTGGACATTGCGCAGGAGAAAGACGAAGAGACGTGGCGGATCTTCGACGCAGCCATCTTCAAGTGGTGTCAAGGGGTGCGGACAGAGTTGACAGAGGAGTGGAGGGAAGAGGCCAGGAATCAAAAGCACCGGGAGACGAAACCGCCAGAGCTCAGAATCGACGTTGCCAGCGATGATGTCGATGCTAGCGGTGACCTTCCCAAACCCGGGCCCGTCGATTCTGGAATCAAGGACTCTTTTGACCGATCTGAAGTCCAGCCTCCAGCTCCCGCAAAGGACCTGCTGTCAACAATGGACCTGCGCGAGAAGATGGCATCAGTGTCGAAGCAAGTACTGGGTGGCGAGGATGATAAAGAGAATGCTGTGCCGACGTAGGAAGTCAGCACGGAGAATACATCTTGGAATCACAGGCGCGGCGAGTCCGATCCGAGTTGGAAGCGGAAGAAGCGACGCGAGGCCGTCGTCATCCGCCCTTCTTCGACCATGTCTGACACCTTTGGACGTCGACGCTTGGGCACCATTCTGGAGAGATAGGAATCGCTTCAGTGAAGTTGAGTGCCCTGTGTTGTGAGAGACAGTCCTTTCAGGAGAAGAAGAAGAAGAAGAGAGCATTGTACATACCCGACATGGGCAGCCGCGGGATGGCGGACGGAGAGCGAACGGAAGGAAGCTATGTCGTAGCATTTGTTTGGCTTGGACGGCCGGTGATTGAATGGTTTTGGCTGGAGAAGAGAAGATTGATACCCCCTTTTTCATAAGACCCGTAATGGGCAGAGAGCAGCTGCAGCCAAGAAGAACATTTCCTTGTAATTGATGGGCAAAGAGCATAGTGAGATGAAAGTGTGCGCGAAAGCTGCAAGCAGCATTGGAACTTTTGGGGAATTTTGCGAAGCGCCTACGACGGCCTTTGGGTTTCTTTTATTTCCTCTTAGCCTTTTCCTCTTTTCGTAGAAGATAGTCATTTTTCATATGAAGGCTGCGTTCTACTGAGATGACCATCTTTGCGTGCTACTTTATTTTGCCTTTTTTGTATAGTGCAGTGGCTTCACGTGCTCCTCGAGCTTGCTACGAGAGTCCGAGGCAGCTTGTGAAACAGTGCAGTCCAGTTCTCATATCCTTGCCACAAGCTGCGAATTACTTCGTGAACAGCATCGTGAAATCCTGGCAAGCTTCGTAGGTTCGAGAGCATATCTCACTGACACACTCCTGACTTCACAAGAAACCAGCAGATCCCGCCAATAGACTCATAAACTCCGAGAGTATATCGTCAACGCCTCCGAAGTTCCCGCCACGCGACAAAACGGTCAATTTACCTGCAAGCAATTCAACGCAGTTGCAGGACGTTGCAAAAAGCCAGTGGCTAGCAACAACTGCCACGATGAATGTTTGGTAGGAACAAACCGTGAACATGTCCTGCGAAGAAAGAGATCTAGTGCTTTTGGGCAGCAAGGAGAACGCAAACTATACGATACTTTATACCATCGGTCAGCAGTTCCGTGATGGGACGGAGAGTTTAATATATTTAGTCCGCGTCGTAAGGTCGGATTGAGGGACCTTGGGAAGGATGTGTGGAAGTGTTGTTCCGGCGTGCTAGGTTTTGTGGTCGGATGGAGAAAGGTTAAAAAAGATGTTGGGGTGGGTTCCGTTCTGCTTGAGTTGGAGTTGGAAAGGTGATTGAAAGATTCCACGCGATCGATGTTGAACACTTGTGTAATTGTTCATCAGTCTGAGTATTGCATATTGTGAATTTTTAGTGAATAGAAGCCGGGTTTCCCTAAACGATCGGCGAATTTGAACATAGCAAAGGTCGGGAATGCTGCTGGGATGATCCATTAGGCTCGTGAACCGATCTGGAATCCCTGAGGCTTTGACGCACTGGCGGGCATGTTTTGGCGAATGAGGTGAGACAGCGACAGGCACGGAGAGCCGCAGAACGCCACACTACTGGACTCTCGCCCGTTGTTCCTGGCCTGCCTTCACCCAGCCATATACGCGCAGCTGTCGGATGTCTGGAGGAGCGACGGAGCTGGTGCGACGCGTGCATGGCCGATGGCTGGATGACTGCGCGACTCTCCTGGAACCGGCGTCAGAGACACACAGCGGCTGCGGAGACGGCCAGAGAAGAGAGGTAGGGAGGGACAGCAGACGGGACAGACGTTGGTCGACGTGGATCATGGCGTAGAGCAGAGCTGCTGGCCACCTCGTCGCCCTCCTCCTCTTGGTGTCACAAGCAGTGAACACGAGCAAACTAGCGCAGTCGGCCAGTGTTGTGGTCGATTGTTTACATGCACGTCAAACGCGACTACTGCAGCTCCCGTCGCGTTTGCCCGACCAGACGCAGCCAGTCCAGCTCCTAGCGCGGGGCGGTATACAGCCAGCGCATAATGGCCGCCCACGACAGGCATCACCCTACTCGTCCACCGCACTGGTCGACGTCAGCGCCCGCCACCGCCATCGCAACGGACCCCAGCCGGACGGAGGCCGCTCACCTGGATCCCGCCGATGAGCACCGCCAGCAGATCGGCCGCCAGATCCTCAAGGAAGAACAACGCCATCGCTGGCTGGAGATCAAGGCCCATCGCGCTGGGAAACGCCTCTCGCCAGGCCTGGAAGCACGACTACAGCGCCTGCACCGGAGTCGCAGCGGCGAAAGCATAACCTCTCGTCGCAGCAGCAAATCGAGCATTGGAAGGATCCCCGAAGCTCAGCTCGAGGAACTCGAACGCCTGCACCGCGCACGCGAACGAGACGTCGACATCCGACGACGGGGGACGGAGTGGAGTCGCAGCAGTAACATGCCCGTGGGAGGTGGAGTGCGGCTCAGCGGTGGTCCGGTGCTGACAGACAATGAGGCGAGCGAGCTCAGTGCCATCGAGTCCGATGCCAATGGGAACGCGGACCTGGATGCGCCGAGTGCATACGCGACCTCAGCTTACGCGAGCTCTGTAATCGACATCTCAGACGCCCTTGTGGCCGAAAACACGACCGACGACGACGAAGCGGGCATCGACGAACATTTACGGTTGGAGGCGAGCTTGGTGGATAATCACAAGTATCGCATGCCGGATGTGGGAAAGGCGAGGCTGTGTTCTAGGACGAAAGAGCCGCTAAGTCCTGGTCCGAGAACGACGGGCGCGTCTGCGAGTGGTGCGAATGGTGGAGAGATGGCGCCGAACACAGATAAACCGCTTCCTGAGCCGCCGAGCACACCGAGTAGGATGGCTTCGCGAGAAGCATTGGACACGAATGGAAATACTGCCAGTCCGATCACGAGCGGGAACTTGGACTTTGGAAACTGGCAGGCAGGCGCTGGAAGTGCGGACACACCAGAGAGAAGGGCCAGCAATGGATCATTATCCAGGCCGAGTCTTTCGAGGGCAGGCTCGGTCTATACGCTGGGACGCAATAGCTTCACGGGACAACTTGCGCAGCTGACGTCTATGCGACTGCCGGATGCCGACTCACTCGCAAAGAGGATATCTGCACTTCCATCGGCTACAGAAGCTGCCAAAGCCTTGTCGGATGCGTATGAGCAGATTCGGCTTTGGATTGCGAAAGCGAATGATGCACTGGAAGGGCTGAACGCAGAAGATGATGTGGAATGGGCAGCAGCAGGCGGCAGGGAAGGCATCGACGATGTTGATAAAGCAATTGGCAGATTTCAACATCTGGTCGAGGTGTACATCCTCTCGATCGAGCGACTGCAGACACGAGAAGATGTGCATCAGCTTACAGCCAAGGACATTGAGACGAGCGTTGAACAAATGGAGCACATTGTCACCCGTTGGAAACAGATTAAGGTTACTCTGAAAGGCATCAAAGACCAAGTCAAACTTGCGATGGAATGGCAAGATATTTGGGACAGAGTGCTGGGAGAGATCTCGGAAGAAATGCAAGACCTCCAACGACTGGTGTTCGAGATGGAAGAAAAGCGCCACCAGGGATCCGAGAGTGTTCTATCTTCGAAGGACAGCATCGATATCAGCGAGCTGGAGACCATCGTGGAAGAGCAACCTGGAGGCAGTCGCATGCAGCAGAACAGGTTCAGCCTGACAGCGCCATTCGCGGACGGCATGCCCCTGACACCACCTTCACAGCCCGCTCATGTGGTAGACAAAGAGGACTCCAGTCTTCTCGCGCTATTTGCAAGAATGCAACCACTACGAGCCAACCTGGACTTCCTCCCAATGCGACTATCGTCATTCAGTGCGCGAGGCAACACAGTCTTCCCCAGCGCTTGCATGGACATTGATCAACGACGAGAGCAATTAGAATCTCAATGGCAGCAACTCGAAGCTGATGCAGAGTCGCTACGTCGCGAGCTTGGAGAAGATCGCTGGGTGATCGTTTTCCGCAACGCCGGTCGGCAAGCTCTCAAGATGTGCGAGTCCATCAGTCGAAGTCTGCAAAAACTCGGCACTGCTATCGAAATGGACGAGCAGCATATCAACCCTTCAGCAATGAAGACGAAGATTGATAATTATGACCAGAAGAAGAGGCACTATGGTCCTGCTATTGAGCGGGTGCTCGCCATCATCGACCGAGGCGTAACAGATCGACTCACAGTCAATGGCGAAATTCTTCGCCTTCAGAGTGACATGAAGCAAAGATGGGCGTCTTTGCAAGATGCAGTCAAGGATATGGATGCTGTAGTACTCGAAGTCAAGGATGACTTGGCAAATGTTGAACAACAGGATCAACAATTGCGAGACTCTGTCTTGACCGTCATCTCCACGGAGCGCTCTTTGGGGAGCAGTCTTGGTGTTGCCACACCTGGCAGCTCACCCGCAAGCAGTGTCGTTGGCAACAGCCGGAAAGGGAGCTTTGGGTCACGAACGCCCACGTCGTTGACAAACATCAAAGTCCGAAGCGGCAGCAGCAGTAAAGAGTCGGTTAGCAGGCTCACACTGACGCCATCATCGCTCCCTCGAAGAAGCCTGCTTCCCAAGAAATCCTTATCGGACATGCACTCATCGCAGCGGGCATCGTCCTTACCTCTTGGAACGCCATCGAAGAAGGTCGCCTGGCCGAGCAGACCTGACCATACCCCCTCGAGTAACAAGCCCCGATTCGTGGCTGCAGCGAAGCTCGAAGACAAAGGCTTTGCGCCTCTCAGTGCATACGAGCCTAGCAAATATGCAAAAACACCCGTAACCCCCAAGGTCAACTACCTTCGGTCTGGCACCTATGTTCCTCCTGTCCCAGCTCTCCTTCGAACTCCTGCTTCCGCGAGCAGTTCAAGGACAGTAAGCGGCCCAGCCTCAACCCTCCCACGACCAGCAACAAGTCTAGCTACCGGTCGAGCCCGCAAATCCAGTCTCCCAGTCCGAAGCGAAACGCCATCGAAACTCGCTGCATCCGTCCCAGCTCCTGGCTCTAGCACAAGAAATGGCTTGTCAGCCAAAGCTTCAGCGCCGAACCTGAGACCTGGAAGTCGATTAGCAAGTGGTCGACGATCAAGCATGATGCCCGCGAGGACGGAAGATCCCGTCAGCGGGAACGAAGCTGATAGTGAAGCCCCGGCACACCACAATAGACGGTCTCCGAGCGCATTAGCTGTCAATGGGAGACAAAGCCAAGCTGGCAGACGCAGTAGTATGATGCGCAGCCGATTAGGAGAACGGGATGCTTCGCAAGGGGCTTCGCGACCGAAGTGGAGGCCTTAGGACGATGGAGTTGCCACGTTGTCTGAGAATTAAAACCCGCGTGTGTTTGCATTTGGAATTTTGAGCGTTCCTGTCACGAAAAGCCTGGCGCGGAAAAGGTTGTTTTGGGGGCAGCAGCCAGCCAGGCAGGCATCATCGTCATCGTCATCACGATCAACGGTCGTTCTCTGTTCTATTTACTTTGTTAGCAGCTCTGAGCGTTCTTGTTTCTTGTGCTTTTTGCAGCCGTCATTGTTTCAAAGATTATTCTAGCTTCGTTTTGAAGGGTGGCCGCGAGGCGGCAGCAGTCGTTATTTGGTGTTAGCGATAACATGCATTCCGGGCATGGCGTTATAATGGAGTCGGCATGGGCAAAGGGGCTTTGAGGAAAATGGGTGTTGTTTTTTGAAAAGGGAATCAGCGATCCGTTGAGGAGCGAATTTTGCAGCTTCTTGGGATTTTGTGTTGATAGGAATATAAGAGAGAGAAAGAGAGAAATATTGGTGCTGAAGCCAGAGAGCATTCTCCTTTCCTTGTTTTACGACATTGTTTGTGCTCCGTGCTGGTTTAGAACATATTTCCTTTCGCTTGTCTTGTGTCGCGGATCGCGTAGCGATAGCCCTCGATTGGGCGCGGTCTGCTCAGCTGCTATTCTGGAGAGCAGCATAACACCCTACCTTGGCTCTACAGTACTTCCCAGTCGTGACCGCTCGTCTCACGTCATGAGACCAGTAATCATACTGGAATCCCCAGACGAGGGTTACTTGCGCATCACACTTGGCGATTGGCACCAAGACTTCGTATCATGCGTCCCGCGGACTACACGTATGTCGCAAGACAAGATCTTGACTTTCTCATGTCAAGCAGAACAAGACTTGCCGCGTCGCATGCAGTGGAAGCCACGCGTTGAACGGACATTTCTAGGCAGCTTCGAAAGTCCCAAACTCTGAAAGCATCCAAGCACTGCGGCGTAGTTCGTACTCGCGTGTGTAGCACCTAGCTATACGAACTTTGCGATCCTATTGCTTGGTGCGGCGTCCTTGCATGCCGAGGAGCCTGTTAGGGAGCGGGAAAATTTGTTCACTCGTCGATGTTGATCCGCTCTCAAAATGGAGAATGCTGTGTCGCAACGTCCAGCTCCGCGGCCACAAGAGCCGCAAAGGGCCTTGGGGGGTTCTGCTCGTCGCTTGGAACGAGAAAAGTCGTGTTGCCGAGTGGTGATGCCGTCACACTGCTTGATCATACGGTAGTACAAATCTTGGTTCATCAATCCAGTCCGCGGAGCAGAATATGTCCTACGTCAGTGGGGATCGCAGAGACTCCATGTCTCCAGTCGACGTCGTGCACTTCGTGAGGGATGAAAAGGCCATACACACGATATTCGTTGTCGCGGTACAACGACCAGCAACCGACACCGGAATCCGCCGTGAGCAGCTCTCGAAGCTGCCAGTCCACAAACTGTCACCTCGCCGGTTTGGGAGTTGGAGATGCTGCACGCGCGGGATAAAGATGAGCAAGACGCGTCTTGGTAAAACTTGGCAGATCCACTGTCGAAGACATGGCAAGAAGTTGCAAGACAAGCCAAGCCTGAAGCGAAAGTATCAGTAATCCAGACCCACAAAGGGCGTCGGGTGTTTCCTCTTCCTACAACCGATCCGTTACCGCAATAGACAGTTGTCTAATGGAGAGGAAGCCGCGACGAACATTCTGTTGGCGATAATAAATGTGGCGAGACTTGAGCCAGCGATTCGTTATGTGCTGGAGCGAAGATCATGCTTGTATCAGACAAAGCGTGGTATTGCTGTCTACGGGCGCAAGAGCCGGCGTGATGTAGGCCAGCGATTGCAACGTTGCTTAAAGGATTCGCCGACAATGCCGAGAGCTCTACACATCTGCAAGTATCTGATGCAGGTCACCAGGAGTATTGCAAGATCAGCATCTATCATAGCTTCCGACAAAGTAGGCCGGATTCGGTCCAAGGCTTGAACCATTTGCGGCTGAATGCTGTATCCTTGGGTGTGCCAGCACCAAGACAGATAGTGGCGCTGCTCCCAAAGCCTGCACTTTCGAAGCTCGCAATGTTGACCGCATGAGTGCATTGGGTGAGCGTCAGTCTGGTCGTGGCTGCCACGTTGACACGCTACACTTGCAGTAGGTGTCCACCCCACCTGTACTATCGCGCAATGATGGACCCGCCGACCGGCGACCACATAGCATGTGAGCAGAAGGAAGACTGGAACGCGCGTGCACCAAGTGGCGAGAACATTCGTGGCTTGCAATATTGTCACCAAGGTTCGTGTGTAGCGAAGGAGCGGCTCAGTGCAGGGTGGCGGATTCTGGCCAACATCCTTCGATCGTCGCAGAGCCTTGCGGCTTGTCCAGTGAAATCTCACATGATTGGGGCATACGTGTGTACAGATGTACAGTATCTAGACAGCGTGTTCGCGGGCGCCTCTTTGGTAATGCAAGTGATCGCTAGAGCAGTAAATGTCGCAGCAGTGCCGGAGCACTGTTTGCAAAACGTGAGCAGAATCGGAAGCCAAGATTGCCAAGATGGTCAAGACAATCCACAGACGAGAGTCGCATTTCTCGACTCGGTAAAGAGCAGCGGCGAAGAACTGTCTCGGACCAGTGTTGTTTGCCTCGAGAGGCAGCGCACGCGAGGTGGCTGCAGTTGGGATAGGCCTGGCTCACCGTCGTTGGCGTTGTTGCTCTCTCAGTGGACGCCGCGATCGTCGTGAATACAAGCTTTGTCAGGCCAGGAGGGGTCTGGAGTTTGTGAGCATTTTAGCTCGAAAGCTATTTTCAAGCTTATCTCGGCGAATCGTTTACAGGCCAAGTCAAGCCGAGGAGCTAAAGCGCACGGCACGCCTTCGATCCACGTGTACGGGCACGACGGAACACGCTCGATTCCGTAGGTCCCAGAGTTCTTGTGCACGCTGCACAGGCGGGAAGTCGAAGGATTCGCTGCTTGCGGTGAAAGATTTGCTCTCATGAGATGTCTAGACGAGAGAGCTGCAGTGCAGCGCGAGAGGGATCGTTCCGTAGGCCAGGCTGTCCGGCCGCCGGCGAGCATGGTTGGTTTCCCGACTTCCGGTTTTGTCGACGAGTGCGAAGTGGTCCTCCTCCACGCGCTTCGTCTGCTCGACAATCGTGCTCATGTTCTCGCAAGGCGATGAGACAGTGGAAGTGGGTATGCTGACGCGGCCAAGTGCGCCCAATGGGCAAGTGATTATTATGAAGGTCGTCGCAGCTGTCCAAGGGCTCGTCTTGTGCACTGCACGACAAGAGCAGGGGGTACGAAGCGAGCCATGGCACTCTTGGGTGTCGATGGCGCTAAGCACATCCTCCGAGCATGGCAGCCAGCCAGCAGAAAGTGTGGCGTGCTGGTATCGCTAGAAGCCGTCCATCTGCAGGAGCGCAGGAAGACAGTGATGCGGAGAAGTGCGAGAAGCAACGCGAGACTTGGAGGTTGTTGCAGGCCCGGGTGTTGGAGAAGCAATTCGAGCCTACGCGGCCGCTCGTTGCAGGCAGTCAGCAGAGGCTTATTTGCTGAGACACGCGGGCCCAGTGCTTACACCTTGGCGGCTGGGCGTGCTGTATAGAGTATAAGGTTAAAAGTCTTAGCAATCGAGGGTCACGCTCGATTGCTGATCGCCCGCTGTCTCGCCGTCGCTCGGCGAGCTGTTGTGCCCTACAATAATAATACGCTCGGAAACACGGATGGCGTGCGCACCGCCGTGGAGCTGTCCAGCAGTGATCAGTGATCCTGGACGGCGGAAGGCACTCATCAGCAACGCCCTCTGACCAGGGCAGCGGAGCAGTCTGCAGCGGTCGCTTAGTGTTGCCCGCCGGTGGGAGTGGGCTGGCTGGCTGGCGGTTTGGTGGTGAGATCGCACTCTGTACGAGGAAGATGCCGTCATGCTCGCTCCTCGGGCGCCTAGACAGCACGATGCACGCCTCGCGCTGCACAAGAACGCCATGCACGCCGCAAAACGTGTCGTGGGCTCCACCTCATTGGAGAGGCTTGGAGCGAGCCAAGAGTGCGCAAGACTGCACAAGACTTGTGTCGCGCTCTGCATGTCCACCTGTCCACTTCGAGCCGGGGCTGGACGTCACCGCGCCCATTCGTCCCGCTTACCCAACTGCGATCGTCGCTCGCCTCGCGTACACTTTTGCGCTGTCGCTGCCTGTCTGCGCTGACCTGGGCTGACCGATTGCCGCTCAGGGAGTCAGAGAAGACGAGTACGACAGTGACACGAGCAGCGAAAAGAGAGCAGAGCACGGCAAGCGGAATGCGAACATGGCTCTCCGGGCTTGGACGGCATCGTGCACAGCCTTCGCTTGGCGCTGAGCGTCCAGCGGCGCCAATTTTCCCGGGTCGACTCTAAAGTGTAATCTTTAAGCTTACTTTCGCGATCCTTGGTCCATTCCTGCATTCTCTCGCATCAGTGCACAAACTGCTCGCTTCTCCCTGCGAGTCGTTCTTTCCCTCCTCTCACCCCATCGCTCGCACCTGGCCCTCGCACCTACATCTCTGCACCGCGACTGCCTCTACTCGCAGCGTTTGCATATTGAGTCACTCGCGACTGGCATTTATTCACGAATACCACCCGTGCGTCACTGCCCACTTCTGTCGTTCCACGTTCGCCGCTGATCTTTTCCGCAGATTGCCTGCAGAGGGCCAAGTCACCCTGATCTTGACTTGACCAAACAATGAACGGCATGGAGACCTACCACGGTCATGTGCGAACCCCGGCCGATGCCATCATTCTCTTCGAAGCATGTCGCATCGGCCTCCTCCCACGCGTGCAACGACGTCTCTCCGAAAAGGAGCGACAGTCGATCAAATCGGGCTCCGTTTTCGTCTGGGACGAGCGCGAAGCTGGCATGCGACGATGGACCGACGGCAAATCGTGGAGTGCGAGTCGCGTCTCTGGAAGCTTCCTTACCTACCGCGAAATGGAGGGTAAGCGTGGCGGCTCGAGTTACGACAAGAATTCCAACCGCGACGGCATGATGAACCAGGAAAACGACTCCGACGGCGGTCCTGACGGCTATCGGTACAAGCCAGATGGTCTCATGAAGCAATCTTTCAGCATCACCACGAACCAGGGCCAGCATCTGCATCTCATCAGCTATTTCTCACGATCGACAACTGCTGCCAACAATCTGATGCTGCCAACCGCCGACCCTCAGCTTCGCCACATTCGCCCAGAGAAGGGCATGTATCCCGACTCGACAGTGCACGAGCAGAGCACCATCCCAGCCGTGACGCGTGGTCCCATGGGCTCTCCAGGCTACACGCATGCGCCCCATCAGGCACCTCAGTATGGCCGACCTTACTACCATCACCCGGGCTGGGCACCACCAAGCCCGATGCATACTCCGCCTCCGCATCACGCTTACTCGCCATATTACCACCATCCCCATGCACCTTACGGACACGGCATGCACTACCCACCTCCGCCGGGCTCTTACCCTGCGCCTCCTGGTATGACGGCATTTGACAGGCCTCCGCCACCAATGGGCAACACTGGTCTGCCTCCCCCAGCTCCTGGAGGACCCTATGGCCAGTCGCACGGTGGCTATCCAAGCAGCTACCCACCGCCGCCAGCGACATACCACTCCGGTTACGCTGGGTATCAGCCGCCGCCACTCCAGGCACCACCGTATCCAGCGGCCGCACAATCATCATCCTACAGCCAAACACAACAACCCGAGCAGCAGCCACAGCAGCAACAACCGACTCCAGCTGCTTCGGAAAGTGCGCAAGCGACCGACAGCAACTCGCAATCGGAGTCAAAGCCCACCAGCGAGACTCAAGCTACAACCGGCGCTTCCCCACCAGCAGCCTCTTCTGGTCAGACCATCCCAAGCATATCAGCAATGCTCAACGAAGGAGGGCCGCCACCGGTTCGTGCCAACAGCAGGAGTCCAGGCGGCACAGCGCGTGCTGCTCTGCATGACATCCCAACTTCTAAGCTCGGCTTCGAGGCCAGTCGGGACATGCAGACGATTCGCAACCTCGACAAGACGACGTTCAAGCAGAACTTTGTCTAGACGAGGATTTGCTACTGCTTTGAAAAGTGTTTGCTGTTTGATTAGCGATAGGCGCTGGAGGAGTAATCTCTTTTACATTGACTGTCGGTTTGAACAGCTTGGAGCACAGGCACAAGCGACGACAGCTTCTTTTGCTCATCATGAAATGGAATTGTCGCCAAGGTTTTAGCATTGCAAAGCAGGAGCATCAGATCTCCGCGGAGTCTATAGTCGAAATGAATCCGCAGAACTCGTTCTTCACACTACCACGGTCACATCTTCTGTCTATTTTCTCATTTGCTCACTCCATACGTGACGCTAATGGACGACCTTCTTCAGCTTTGCGTATAGCAGTTCTGGGTTATGTCGATCACTTTTTCACAGCTTGCACTGATGGGGAAGGTGCGAAGTACGCTTGTTGAGGATTGAGCTGCACGAGACTAACTACTGCGTACTTGTTAAGCTTAAAGCTCAACCTTCAACGACAACGCAATGGGATTGTGCCGGATGTAACATGGGTGATTTGGAGATGGTTTGTTTGTCTGTTGTGAAGTGGTATTGTATGTAACTACTCGTCGGTAGGTATGCAACGCTACAGCATACAGAGATTGTTTATGGTCGTGACGTCGTATTGAGGCTATGCAATTGTGCTATAGTAAGAGCCGGTTTTGGCGGAGTCGGAGAGATATCTTTGGTCTTGGGTGACAAGGAAGCTGGTGACAAGGAAGGTGGCGCTCAATCCTCGTGGGAATTCTTCGCGATCTTGCTGACGGTCTTGGGGATCCGGGGAAGGGCTGTTGGGATTTTTCTTGGACATGTCGGGGCCAAGCTGCTTTTGTTGTTCTTCTTGTTTGTGTTGGTTGGTCTGTCTGTCGTATTACTGATCGGATTCTCCTTGTGAAACGCCGAGACAGTGGCAGGTTTTTCTGCCTTGTCCCATTCCCAATGTTCAATGGCCGGTTTCCGGGCGATGTCATATCATATCATATCTTGGAAAACTCAAAGAACAAGTCATTCCACGCCATTGTCGCTTTTCTTCCGTCCGTATGACATGTTCCTCTTTGGAAAATTTAACTGATATCCGAACTCCCATACTCCGCCAGCTTTGATTCCCTTAGAACGATCCAGGCGTGCTCGGAATCCTGCTCGCTCCAGGCCTATGCTCTGCTCTCGAACCTGGCACACCAGATACCGGTGACGTAGCACTCGAATGCGAAGAAGAAGGCGACGAAGCTCCCTTCTTGTTAGGATCCTGGTACGTGCTATTCCATCCCAATCGTGATTTATACGCAGGTAATTCCGAATTCTGCCATGCGCTTACTAGGACACTGTATTCCCATCAAGGTCAGCAAACGACAGAGCGACCCCTCTAGCAGTGCAACTGCGCGCGGTTGTGTAAATACTGGGATGTCTTCCTGCTTACCGTTGTGTCTTATCCGCCGCATTCTCCGCCGAACGATCTTTCACCCCAACTTGTAACCCTCCATCCTTGAACGTCATATGTTTCTTTTCCATCTTCTTTTTACCGCGTTCGGAGAGTTCGCCGGACCAGAGGAAGATTTGGTAGCCGATGAAGGCGAGGGCTCCGACGACTATGAAGAGGATTACCAACGGGATTAAGCTGACGCCTTTCGCCATGGTTGTTGCTGTTAAGGTATTCTCGTTTGCGCCGGCGCGAGGTGAGGTTCTGTTGTGCGAGTTGGGCAGATGGGAGCGAGAGTGTGGAGGTGGATATGTTTGTTCGTCGCAAACAGATAGGATGTCGGCGCGTGGCTTTCGCTGTTGCTGGTTGTTACAGCCCGGCGAGTTGATGAAAGGTCCAAACGAGCTCCACAACCTGGAAAGCAGTGGACCCTGAATTTCGCGGACCCTCCTCCCAACCAAAATGCATGTGACTCTGCTGCGAACGCTCTTTCTGCTACATGACAGTAACTCATGTGAAGCATTTTCACGCGTCTACGCACTTCTCACACGTCTCTCACCAACACACAGAATCACCACCCACGCGTCGCGTAATCACGAGACAAACCCCAAGTCATCACCACCATCATCAGCAGCAGTATATTCCCGCCAAGAACTCGAACCCGCAAAACGCCGCCGGGCCCACCCACTCCATCTACGATCGCCCTCGGTTCGTTCCCAGCACGTGGTATGGATCTTACCGCACAATCAACCTCACATCAGATAAAACAACTTTAACCTTCTCGGAGTCGCCGTGGTGGCTGAAAATTCCAAGCAACGCCTTCTCTGTTAGCTGACAGCCATGGCGTTCTATATGCTTTGCGCTGCTGCGCCAAAGTAGAGCTCATCGCGATAGCGTTTCGTTTATGGCTTTTAAGCTTGTTCGTTTAACTTGGGGCTCGGTACCGAGTATATGCGAAGTTGTTCTTGGTATTGGGATAGTTCAATGTCTGGTAGATAGTAGTGGCAACGTGGACGTGAGGGCTGGTTTTGCTTGTGAAAAGAGGGGAAGATGGAAGACTATGATTCGGCCGCGAAAAGCTCGATGGTATCGTGGAATGTTTGCTGCGCTGCATTGTTCTTGTGGGGCAGCAGCATTGTAAGTCGCATACGATGCAATGACTAACGACGATAGGTCGAGTGTCCATTGTGGGATATTCTGAGAAGTAATGGGGAACTTAAATCAGAGAAGGTGCTTTTGAGATTTTTGAGAAGTCCATTCAGGAACAGTAATCTATTCTGTGTAGTACTTCTCCCGAGCAAGATGGAGCACATATCGCAAAAGTCTTCCAGCCATCCTGGCACGACGTGCTGTATTATGCTTGCTCGACAACATGAACCGCACCACGTCTGGAAACACTTGCTCACCCTCGACTTGCTGCAACAGTTGTGTCTCCAGTGATTGTGATCATCAATTACCACACAGAAATCCAGGAACACTTTTCCAGACACAGGGTCATTGCCCAATTTTCCAAACAGTCTTCAGCTCTTCCTCAGTACTATCATCGTCACCCTTGTTGTCAACATCAAGCCTTGTGTACAACCAACCAAACCGGTGGACGCTCATGTCCACGCTTCTGATCCCATCCCATACTCGCCAATGAACCAGCTGCCTTGTCATCCGAATATGGAATCGTAGTGCCCTACTAAAGTCAGTAAGATAGTAAACAAAAGCCGAACTTGGATTCAAACTCACCTTCTTCCACGCCCCCTCACCAACCTCATGACACTCCGTAGCAGCCCACTTCCCACACCCCTCCTTATCCCCCTCATCCTTCCCCAACACCCTCTCAATAACATTCCTCACCGAAAACCCAGTCGAGACCTTGAAAATCTTGAACGCCAGCTGTTTGCCCTTGTACTTGTCCTCCCAGATAGGACTGCACTTATTGAAAACGTGCAATTTCGTGTGAGATTTCTTGGAAGGAAACATATAATTCACGCCTGGAGCGAGGGTCGGGCAGCCGCCGGCTTTGGTGGCGGGTGGTGCTGAGCTTGCTGCGACTGTGGAGTCTTCTCCTCCACCGCCGCGGAGTTTGAGACCAGAGGGGGCTTTGCTGCAGACTGTGATTTCGGTCTTCTTGGAGGAGCTGCCAGAACTGGTGCCGCTGCCGCTGCCGCTGGAGTGTGAGGAGATGGAGTCACTGGGGCAGATTGTGGAGCAGGGTGGTGGTGGAGGGATTCTGATCTTGATCTTCTTGGGAGCAGAAGCTGCTGGAGGAGGTGGTGGGACGGTGATCTTGATTTTCTTTGGTGGGCATGACTTTGGTGGAGGAGGTGGGACCTCAATTGTGTACGTCTTGTCCTTGTCGCCTTTGCCCACAACCTTCCAGCCCTTGCCTTTGCAGAGCGTCTTCGCAGCAGAGCTTGCTTCAGAAGGAGCTGGTGGTGGAGAGGGAGGTGCGGACTCGGCCTTCTTGGACTTCTTCTTTGCTGGAGCTGGCTCGGCTGCGATGACAGCCTGCACACCAATGGCTCCTGGTGCGTAAGCGATTTGATGGGCGTATTGAGGCTGCACAGGCATGCCGTATGGGTATGCATAGACCGCCATGTTGAGTGGGACTGGGACCGCGTCAGGTGGAGGAAGGTAACCTTTACCTGCACGCCACTGGTAAGGTGCGAATGGCATGGATGAGAACAAAGCTAAAGAAAGTTGGTACCTCAGCTGTCTTTGAAGGAGATGGTGTTGATGAACTGAACCTGTGAGCTGTGATGATTGGTTAAAGTGGAGGTCGAGTGGCTGTGTTGGTCGTGGAGTGGATGGTTGTTGTGCAAGATGAGACAAGCTTGAGACAGGATGGAGGGTGGTATTTGTGCAATCGCAGCGCGTATGATCAGCCGACAGATCAGGGGCACGCAGTATACCATGAAGCGTGCCAGTCCTGTAGCAAACAGTCGTGAACGCATCATTTGGTCTGTCAGGTGCTGGTGACTATCTGGAGTCGTAGTATCGCTGTTGCCGTCATGCTGGGATTGGTACAGCACGGGGCCAGTTTGAGCACGGGATACATCGCACGAGCTCTGCCACTCGTTGCTTTGAGCGACTGACTTTTGCTCGCGTTCCGGAGAGGTGTTGCGAAACTGTCGTAGTCGTGAGATCTGGGGTTACGCTACATTGGTCAGTTGTTGCAAGAGTCGGAGATAGTCAGTGCTGTGAATTAAGTGATATAGGTGTCAGCCCAGTGCCGTAAGAAAGAGGCACTCCGGCCACATACTCTCATAATTCTCATCATCTCTAGCATATCATACACCGGCAACAACTGCCAGGCCGCCATATATCAACTTCCTGACAGCGTAAAAGCTGGCCTCGTTGTCTTTGGTCCTGTACTGCGGCTGCTGCAACCCGCCCGGTCCAGCTTCTACTTCGATTCTGCCCGATGGACTCTTTCTGATGACCACAGTGTGATCAATCAGTAGTGTGCCCTCTCCTCGGAACTCAGCGGAATGGCCAGAAGCAAGCATCAGCTTCCGCATATCGGTCAACTTCAAATCACCAACATGGACAGGCTGTGTCGCTCGCTGGTGGGCTGTTGATGCTGCAGTCTGTACGAGATCAAGGACTGGTACTGCTGGGACGCCAGGCCGGGCAGCTTTACTGTCCGAATCTGCGTCCTCAGCCTCTCCTTTGATCATCTTGAGCTTCTTCTTGACGTTCTCATCCTCCGCTGACTCGCCGCCACCCTCGACTGGCTCGGCATCTACTCGTCCTGTAAGTGCAACGACACCGAGGCCGCGCACATTCTGCCACGTGAGCTTCTTGACCAGCTGTCGACTTAGCTTGATTGTCCAAGCGTTCGTGTCAACGCTGGCATCGATCACCTCGCCAGCGAGTGGGGCGAAGACATCCGACTTTTGCTCGCCGCCTTCCGATAGAAGTTGCCGACATTCGGTGGCCAAAGCCTGTGTCTCAGAAACACTTCCGGAGATGAGAATGAGCTTCCGTGGTCTGATGAGTGGTATCAGCATTTGCAAGTCTCGCTTTTCGTGCAGTCCAGAAAAATCGATGTGCGCTATGCGAAGCTGTACTGTGATCTCCACAGTGGTAAAGACAGCCTTTTGTGGTGGCTTGTCCTCGCCCTCATCAGGCTCGTAGTCACTCTCGTCGTCTTCTGATTCCGACTCGACCCCGTTTGCTGCATCGCCGTCACCCGCAACCCCTGTAGCCTTCGCGATGAGCGCATCGATGTCGTCTGGTTCCCGCTTCTCTTCCACCTTCTGTCGCTCATCGGGCTGCGGCTTGCGATCTTTCTTATTTTTCGCATTCGCATCGCCCCATTTGCGCTTCTGACCGACAGTAGTAACATCTTGTTTCGCATCAGCGCGCATGTCCACGCCATCGACAGTATCACGTTCTTCCGCGCGCAAGTAGTCCTCAGGTTTGATGATGTCGCCATAATCGTCGCTCTTGGGCTTGCGCTGTACGAAAGGAAAGACTTTGTCGCGCCCCTTCCTGTTTCGTACGTCAAAGTCGTGAACATTCTTGCCCCTGATAAGGACGTTGATGCCCAGCTCCGCATCCGATAGACCAGCTTTGCGCTTGTTGCTCTGCGTCATTTGCGCAGACAAATTGAGCGCTCGTCCCTGCTGCTCAGGATCCTGATCTTCATCTTCGTCGTCTGAAGATTCTTCCGCCTGGTCGTCTGCAATCTCTGCAGTGGCCGTGTCATTGGCAGCATTGTCACCTTGCAGATTGCTATGAAGCTGTCGTTGACGCGCAGCATATTGTTGATACAGCATATCCTCCTCTCCAGTGAGCGGCTCGGCCGTGACTTGTCGCAGTTGCACACTCTGCCCATCAGCGCCAACGACTTTCGCGCCGGCTTGGGAAGAAGATTTGTTGCTAGATCGCCATACGTTCGCCAGTTGCTGTGCAAGACTTGGCCGCGTCACGTCGTTCTGTGGCGTGTTTTCAGTGAGAATGACTAGATTCTGAGGGTCTTGGGCCATCTTCTCCATTGCTTGTCGTGCAAATCCCCATTCAAGCGAGGTGTCGCTGGCTAGTATGATACATGGCCTCTTCCGCCGCAATGCTTGATCCAGCTTGTTTCTGCTTTCAATCTGCTTCACGAACTGCCAGTCCAGTAAATTCGGCACTCTTCCCTCATCTGCCTGCGTTTTGCTCATGGCAGCCTCGGCGTCCCTGATGATGGCTTCGTCCATCCATTCCAACATGCTCGACAGCTGGCGTACCGTGCTTTTGCTCGTCTTGCTCGCCATGTATATCCTGGTGTTGCGGTACGTGTCTGCATGCGGACCACTGACATTCTCTCGCCATGTATGATTGAGAATGAATGCGAGCTCCAGCACTCTTGCCGAAGAGTCCGTCGGAATCAAGACCTTACCACCCTGAGCAATAGTCTCCCGTATCAAGCTGACAAGAAGTTCATCCCTCTTCTTTCTCGGCAGAACCTCTGTTTTCTCAACACCCTTCGAGCTGCATATCAGGGCAGTCGGCCGCTGTAGGCCTTCTGTGATGTTCGAACCTCCAGAGAGCCATGCCGCTCCCGATAGCAGATTCTCACGGCCTTGATTCCAGTCTGCGGCATAGACAATGCTCTCTAGGCCATGCTGAATGTGCCATATTGTCCCTCCAGGTGTGTGTCCAGCACTGTACGCAGTGATTGTGAGGTTGCCTACAGGAGGCGAGAAAGACGCGGGTACTGGCTGGTGTGGCTGGCTGTAGCGAAGAGGATGGATTGCGCCAAAATATGCCGCGATCTCGTCTGCAGAAGGAGACGCGTAGAGGAGATTCGGTGCTGTTTCTGGCTGAAGCGCGCTTGGGGCGATGGCGCTGACGGGGATAACGGAGGCGGCGAGAGGAGACGAGGCGTAGAGATCAACCAGCAGCGTTCGTCCCAGGTTGATGACTGGCGTAGTCGCGTACACGGGCACTTGACTGAACTGCGGAATGTGTTTGCAGCAGTGCGCGTATGCGCCGATATGGTCGACGGTCGCATGGGTCAGCAAGACGAGCGACAGTGTCGACACGTGCTTTTCTAGTGTATGCAGCTTCTCAGCATCGAATGTCTCGTCCCAGCCCACGTCGACGAGAATCTTGATGCCGCCATCGAGTTCCAATAGCGACTGCGACGCCGGCGAGTCGGTTTGCGCGCCCAGCAGCGGCGTGAAGGTGAACATGGCGCGCTGCTATCCCATCCGCATTGTTGTGTACTTGGTCTCCTCCCTAGGATCAGCAGATGTCAGAGCAGTTGCTTTCACATGAAGATCAAAGAGCTGCAAGTGAGTGGACTTGAGAGCTTTACGGGCATATCTCGGCTTTCCGAGCTTTGCCCGTTCTCCGCTGCCAAACACAACACAACAGCAATGTCACGGTCAACACCATCCGACATCAGGAAATTCCTTTCGAACATCTATCACCCTACTCCTTGCCAAGCTATGATTTGGCTCTGCCCATGTCGCGATTTGCCGATGATTCCGCCGCTGAGATACGTCTCTTCGCGGCTGCACCTTCTTGGTGGAGGATCAACAAGCTCAAGCTCTGAGCATGCGTGTCTGCACTATGGCGACTGATCATTGAGGCTCGCAGTGGCTTTATCACAATCAACACTCAAAATACATGGCTTGGATGGCGACTTGGCTTCTCCCGCGAATTTCTTTCCGCCGAGAGATATGAGACTCTTGAAGACGCCTCTCTTTGATGCCGAAGCGGTCAAGTATGCCAAAGATTCCCACTCTGACGCCGCGTCCGTGGCCTCTGCAGCAGAGAGTCTCCGCGGTCGGCCACATGATGATACCCTCAGTCGGGCGAGCACGTTATAGTTCTCTGACATCGATTTTCCGAGCGGCCAATTGCGTCAGCGAAATGTGAGTCCCCAAGCCCGAGAACTCAGCTTCGACGTACCACTCGCACGCAGAGTATCTCTCCCAGAGAGCGAGAGCGAGAGTGAGAGCGACGACGAATATGTTGCCTCAACGACATCCTCCTCTGAGTCAGAAGTGGAGCTCTCATGGGAGACGGTGTGGTCTGCAGAGTGGACCCTCGAGCTCGTTGAGTTCTCTGGACGAGAAATTCCTCAATACGCCATCCTATCACATACTTGGCAGCTAGACGAGGTCCTCTATCGAGACGTGGTCCTAGGTACCAGTACAGACCGAGCGGGCTATCAAAAGCTGAAACTGGCCGCAACTCAGGCACGAGTTCACGGATATTGCTATATCTGGATCGATACGTGCTGTATTGACAAGAACAGCAGCGCAGAGCTGCAGGAAGCGATCAATTCTATGTTTACCTGGTACGCGCAAGCCGGGACATGCTATGCGTATCTATCGGACGTGACGTGTCAGCGCCACCAGCCAGAGTTTGAGGCGGCGTTCTCAAACAGCAGGTGGTTCACTAGAGGCTGGACTTTACAGGAACTGTTAGCTCCCCGAGATGTCTTCTTCTATACTGAATCATGGCAAGAGCTTGGCAATCTTCGAGGGCCTGATGACGAAGCGCTGCAGAAAATGGTCTCTCGAACAACGGGCATTGCCAGGTATCACCTTCTCGCGGGCCGCCAATTGACCCGAGCAAATGTAGCGACTCGTATGCGCTGGGCATCTGGACGAGCAACTGCACGCACCGAAGATATCGCGTACTGTCTCCTAGGCTTGTTTGACATTTCCATGCCTCTTCTGTATGGCGAAGGCAAGAAAGCTTTTCGGAGACTGCAAGAAGAAATCATGAAGCAGTCTGACGACCTTAGTTTGTTTTCGTGGACCAAGAAATCCAGCGATACAATGCGGCATGGACTACTCAGTGACTCACCCGCGGATTTCGCGCGCTATACCGTTCACGATGCTCGACTGGCGAAGCGATACGGCAGAGACTTGACTGCAACAACGCCCTACGCCATGACCAACGTGGGTCTCAGCATCGAGCTGCAACTAAAGTCGATTGTCACAGACACAATATATCTCGCTTTGCTGGAACGCCAGAATGCCGAAAATGAAAGCAGATCAGCTATATATCTTCAACGAATGGGTGGCACTCGATTCGTGCGTATTCTGTGCAGCAAACTTCCTTCCGCGCTGCCAGAGGAGGCAACTGCAACACCGTGTCTCGTCTGGCAGGATATTGAGGCTCGGGTATCGACAGGAGATGCAGTGTCTTGGCATCCAAAGATCAAATTCGAGCTACCAATCCCCTGGATGGCAGATTTTGGGGTGGTCTGTCTGACCTCGGGTCCTTACACGCACTTCTTTGGTGACATCGACCGCAAGACGTTATCCGATCAAATGTGCAGCGTGCTCCGTCATTTGAGAACATCAAACGAATTTGTCATTGAATGTGGCAGTCTCGGCCACGTCACAGTAGGTTACAACGCCCATTACCTGCCCGATTTAATGAGAGAGATGCCTGATGTGGAATATGTTTCGGGACTGCCAGCGACAGAATCCCATATTATGGCCATCAAGAGATATCTGCGAGCTAAGCGGCCCAACTTGCAAATCGCAGGCATGTCGATTGAGATTCCGATCAAAAGCCATGAAGTCTTGATGTGGAAGGTGACTACGTGGGTGAGGAGAGTGGTAGACAACGAATGTCACGTTTTGACAGTCGATATTCAGGCACCACTGAAGTTTCGCAATAGTGAACCAGGAGCATCTGAAGCTGAATTCGAGCTCAAACAGCCAAATTCGAAGGCTACAGCTATTGAGGCCTTCGACAGCCAGCCCGAGAAGCAGGGAACGCGTATGAACGCATGGAACCCCAACCATTCATTCCCAGATGCACGAGTGGAATCTCTACTAGCTGGAGATAGCAGCCGCGACGTGTCTCCGAAACCCGCGGGCACGATGTCTCGAACTCGGATACTGCTTTGGGCAGAGACTCCACCTAAACCAAGATAAATAGATGCATACATGCAACCTGGGCCTGATAGCATTCGCTACTTTTCTTCGGGGGCGCAGAGCGACACACAAATGCCTGCATGAAATCAAGGCTGTCCGGCAAGCATGGCCGCGATTCGTGGCGACAGATCTCCCAACCATAGCTCTTCACCGTCTGCCATCTGTTTCGATAGAGGATAGAAGACCATCGCTTGGTTTTTGCAGCTCGGACATTGCTAAGCCTCAGACCGTACCGTTGGAAGAGTTCACGTGCGGCGCTTACGAAGTTCGGTCCTCCTGAGGGCCAAGGTTCGGTCGTGCCTTGCCGAGATGTGGCTTGCAGCCACTCCTGACACTAGTCTTCACTCCTTCACTCATCGTACAGTACAAGATACTGGCAATTGCTGACAGACATTGATTCCCTCACTGGAAACCCGATGCGACTTTTGGAAATCATGGACATCAGACATGGCGTCGCACACAAAGTGCATTACCTGGGTGGAAGATCAGGTCGAGATTCCAAGCAAATGGTGGCTCTCAACTCTCGGAACGTCATTTCCACCACGCGACATCAACGTGAGAAGCGAGTCAACCGACCAACCGTAGCCTCCGATTCCAGCCTTATTCAACGCCACGAAGCCTATGGCTGGCTGAAGACCCCATTTCGGTATACTGCACAAGCCTCAGCATTCCTTATACAGCGGAAGCGCTGAGAAAACCTGCATCCAAGAAGTCCACTCCTGCGTCTAGCCTGAGGTGAAGTCGTCAGGTCTTGCCGGCGATGCCGATTGCGTGTTGTTAGCCCCCCGTTATATACGGTATGTCGCCAGCTACGATCTTCGTACAACTTGCCCTTCACGTTTTGCGCGTGCCTTTCTTTTTGATTGATTGACCTCACTCGTTACCGGGATACTCAATATGGAGATCCTGTCCACTCTTTTTGCATTCTTGCTTCTGCTGGGCTTTTCCGCAGCCCGGCCTTATGTTTCTAGCAGTAGCTCGACTACGACTACCACATGTACTACTAAGCTGAGAACGACTACCACTCGTTCGACAACGACGAAATGCTCCACCACCGCATCTGTGAAGAAGTACAAATCCACAACTTCTTCTGTTCCCAAAGCCGGAGGGTATCACACCAAGTCCGCGACCACTTCTTCCAAGGCTGGAGGCTATCATCCAAAGTCAACAAGCACTTCTAAAGCCGGCGGATATGCTCCAAAGTCATCGACCACACCTTCGAAGGCTGGCGGATATCTACCAAAGACGACGACCACTTCTTCGAATGCTCAGTACTATGGCGATAAGACTAGCATCACTACCTTGACCACTTCTACTTCCAAGGCTGTTTACCCGGATGAAACTTCGACCTCGACCACGAAATCGGCGTCTTCGACTTCGACTTCGAGCGAGACGAGCACATCTGCCACGAGCTCCGATGTGACCACATCCACAGCATCGAGCACCACTTCCAGTGTCGGCAGCACTTCTAGTGCCAGCAGCACTTCTACTGTCAGCAGCACTTACAGTGTCAGTACCACTTCATCAACGAGCACAGTCTCAACTACCTCCTCGGCCTCTTTCTCCACCTCCTCCTCCACCACGGCATCGATAACCACAACCACATCCTCTTCAATCACAACGAGCTCCTCTACCTCGATAACCTCATCGACCACAACTACCGCGGCTTGCAAGGCCATTCCTACAGCAGGCGTCGGCAAGCGAGGTCTCGCATACAACTATGCCGCCGTGACAGATCTCTTCGCTACCACAACCTGCCCAGCAACATCTGGCACATCCAAGGTCACCTGGACCTACAACTGGTACAGCGCCCCACAAGATCCCAGACTCCAGGAAACCCCTCGCGACCTGAACCCCTTCGTGCAATTCGTCCCCATGCTCTGGTCCGCCCATCCCGATCTCACCAGCGTCTGGTTCGACAACGTCGCAGCCGCCAAAGAGCAAGGCTGGACCGAAATCCTCGCCTTCAACGAACCCGACCTCTGCGTCGAAGGCGCAGGAGCAAGCTGCATGACAGTCGAAGAAGCGGTCGAAGCCTACAGAACATACATCTCCCCCTTGAAAGCTCAAGGTTTCCGTCTCGGAGGCCCAGCCGTCACGAGCAGCGACACTGGAAAAGCCTGGATTCGCTCTTTCTTGCAGCAATGTACAGGCTGTAATATCGATTTTATCCCTATCCATTGGTATGGCAGTCCTGCGCAGTACGGCGAGTTCTTTTCGTACCTCTACGAATTCTACTATGGAGTTGTCGCTGAGCAATACCCGATTTGGGTCACCGAGTATGGTCTTACAAGCGGAACGGCTGACGTCGTGGAGAAGTTCATGTTCGATACTATGTATGAGATGGATACTCAGGCGACCTTTGTGGAGAAGTATGCGTGGTACATGGCTGGTGCTCCGGGCGTTTTCCCTGGAAATTTGGTGTCGGGTAGTGCTTTGTCGGACTTTGGGAAGATTTACGATAAGGCACCTGGTCGCAGGCCACCACCACCGTAGATTGGATGGAGTCAGGAACCTTTTACGACGGTCGTGATGTGGCATATTGGCAATGTGGACGCTGTAAATTTTGACGATGTCTCTATGTAGAGGGAATTTAATATATGTATATGTGGAAGATAGAAGCGCGACAAAGACATATTCTAATATGAGAGAGGAGCATCGTGACGTATGATCATTTTCGACTCGCGTGGTGGCGATGATCCTGTGACTGAAGCGAGGAGGCTTTGACAGGCTTCGACATTCCCGAGAAACGTCTGCTTCGCGACCAGCGCTTTGGATGAGGAAGAAAGTCTTTTAGAATCGTAGCTAGCCGCTATAGACGATATATCACATATCTGGTTCGCCCTATCCAGTTGTGGTCCTCTCGGTGCCATCCTCGCCCACGGCCAAACCAGTACCGTTGCCTCTGCCCGAGCCATCACGGTTCGTTGTCGCCTCTGCATGGATGGTCACATCGTCCGCAAACACCGGCAGCTCATCCACCGGCTCAGTCACAGTGACTTCGTTCGAGATGACGAATACAGTCAGGCCTGGTACTTGCGATCTATCGTCCAAAGCTTGCTTGTCCTGTTGTCAGTGAGTCAGTATTGTTGTCATGTTGATCTGTCAGAGAATGAATATTACTCACCACCGCGACTCTCCAGTGCAGATTCTTCTGCAGATAAGGCACAACTGTGTCGACAGTGATATCAGGGATGATCTGCGCCAGGTATCTTTCCATCAATGCGATCGTGAGTGGAATCTGGCCCGTGACCTCGAGCTTGTCTGCCTGGCCTGACTTGCATTTACTGCAACCTGTGTTTCCATCTTGGCCCAGCGGAGCGAAGACACCGACGAAGTGAGGAGAGAGAGGCCACAAGCTGACATCATTCTCTTGTACAGCATCCAGGAAGACATAAACAGCATACTTGCCATCAAGGGCGTGCTTCTCGCCCTTAATGTTGACGATCCAGTCCAAGTACTTTCCATCCGGAGCCAGATCGCGCAGAAAAGGCTTCTCAGGCTGCAGAGATTCTTCCAGGAGTTTTGCTGGCTCGGGGAGATCAGCAACGAGTTCAAAGGCACTTTCCGCAGTCGCGGAAATGTTTTCTTCTTTCAACGTCCTCATCATCCTGGCCACGGGAACCATGCGCTCGCCGGCTCGAGGGTTCTTGAGGAAACTTGCTGCAATATCGTCGGCAGGCTGTGGGTATAGCTTCCCAATGGCAGGAATGATTTTGCTTCGTCTCTGATCTAATGGCACCCCATGAAGGCCCTGGAGCTCGGGATAGGTATAGTTGAAATCTTCAACATTGTGAGTCTGCGCCGATGTGTACCATTGGAGGTTGTTGTTCTCATCGAGGTATTTGAATGGGTAGAGTTCCGTCTGGTCTCCATCCGGTCCTGTGTCGGTCGTCTTGAGATACGTTGTCGACCTTTCAGTGAACTCATGGTCGGTAACCCAGGTGTCGGGCTTGCTCTTGTCTTCTCGCAGACCTTGCCACAGAGCGAAAAGTCGATCAATGTTACTGTGCAGGGATTAGCTGAGACATTGTAAGTTCTGTTCGCACGCTCATAATACCAATGGTGTAACCAGAAGATGGGATCAAACGCTGATGCCGAGATCTGTCCCATGTGCCCCCCGTTACCGACCAGATCGTGTATTGCGTTGTGGACATCTGCCGAAAGCAGTCAGTGAGAGTAACGAGAGTGCCTGAGACGGTTTCCCGCGAATCTAGGATGCACACTTACCTTCCAGACTTCCCCATACCTCTTTGCGAGCAGTGCGCTGTGCCTTGGTTTGATCAAAAGAGAATCCATTTGATGAGATGGGTGCGAAGCGTTGATAGCCACCAAGCAGATTAGCCACCCGCTCAGACAGGTTCCGGGCAGCTACCACATCTCGTGCGTAGATGGTAGCGCCAGAATGTTGCGTCTGTACTTTCTTGACCCGCTCCCACATACTGTCATCGCGGTCTTTGTCTGAAAGTTGGGATTCTCCTTTGTTCTGGCGCCTTGTAGGGTTGCCGTAGTAGAGAATCCCTTTGTCTGCAGTAGCTGGCAATGGAGCTTGATGCAAAGGGTTGTACTTTCCCGAGCTTGGCCATACAGAATTTTTGGAGTTTGGGCCCGACCACCAAATCTGCTTTTGATCCAGGGCCTCAGTGGGGAAGATGAACCTGTCGACTCTCGCCCAATCCCAGTAAGGAAGCCGAAACGTTCCCGCGGCAGCAACGTAGCGATCTTGGCCGTCTGAAGGACTGATTCCCTTGGCAATGATTTGAACGTTCTCCCAGAGTTTCGACTACTGAAAGTGAGCTCGCGGACAAGTAGCATTCATCGAATCCACATACCTCGAACAGGGCAAGGAATGGACGATGCCAGGTGAGGAACAATATAGAAGTGTGAGTGCAAAATCCCGGAGCGCCTTCCACAGGGTCTGCAGACATGTCCTCATTCCAGCCCTCATCGGGCCATCGGCGATAAGGCAGACCGTGGATACCTTCTACAGTCAGAGGTAGCTTGCATGGAGTGAAGGTCTCTGTACACACCTGCTATCTCATAGTAGCTGTCTGCAGGCTGCTTTTCCTTGGCGAGATCTTTCTGCTGAAATCTGGCAAGACCTTCCGCAAACAGATATCGTTCTTCGCTTGTCAAGTCACGCAGTTCCTTTCGTGGCGCAACATTTGCTATGGCTCGTCAGTCGATAATCTGTACCATAAATATGACATACGCACGGCTAGCAGTCTTTGGAATGCCTGAGCCAAGAACATCCTTCCACTCAGCCATGATGATCGATCTTAGTCTTGTGAATGTCAATGCTGAGCAAACGAAGCGTACAGCAATGCTAAGATGTAAAGTCTGCGGAACAGATTCTTATAGCGATTGGCCTAAGACAAGACCGTGGTGTCACCATTGCTCTGCTGCACGCGAGTACAGCCTGTGGTGTCAGGCCACGCGAGCGTCGTCGGTACCACAGCGCCATCCTCGCGATCGAGAACAAGAGTCTTGCATTTCAGCCAGCCATGATTGTTCTCCATGGGCGTACGTGGAAAGTCTACGATGCAGGTTTTGCGCCACTCGTCTCAGCTCTCCGCAGACTTAAAGTCGTGCGGGGCGCTGCAGGCCCCAAAGGTAGGTCAGGGTTGTGCGTGACACAATCCGAGTTGCGGTCATACAGGAGCCTGAATATCGATATTTGTGTGTTCCGTGGATGAAGTCTCGAAGTGTTGTCGACTGCAACTTGCGGAACTGGAGAGCTGGTCAATGGTGAGAAGTGGGGTGTGGCTGTCGAGCTACTGCACTGCAGCTCCCACGTGGACCTCTCCTTTGCGATCTGGGCACAAGAGCTGTGCTCTCGGTGCTACCGGTCATGGAAGTTGTCAGATGGAGCTGAAGGCGTACACTGCAGAAACGCTATACTTTGTACGGGAACCGGTTCGTCGCCGGTTTCCCCGTCTGCAGTGTGCTCTTCAATAGGCGATGAGACGGCGTTTCAGCTCCCCGATGTAGTCATCGCATGCTTGAGTTCAGCTTCGGACGCACCGACGCTCCAGCGAGGCGACATACGGGCTATTGATTTCCATCGGTAGACGGGCTACTCTTGGTCGTTTCGAATGCTCCAGGCCCGGGCTGCACCCCTTCAAAAGCCTGTCCGCCTTGCAGCACGCGGGGGAGCAAGCTGTAGAGTGGCATTGGTGGCAGTGAGGATCGCAGAGGGGTGCTATGTTTGCAAAGGGCGATGCTGATCGTTAATATAGGGTATCAAAACTGCCGCAAATGCACTCAGATTGAGATCTTGGCACAAGTAGTGCCCTCAGCCACCCGTCTGGTCGGTCCAACAGTATCTTCTCTGGACAAGTATACAGCTCCCGCTGTTCTAGTCAACTGTCGAAAGCCGCAGAGAATAGCGTAATAAAATTGAGACCCGGAATACTGATCAATGAAGCTCTTTGTCGGCAGTGATCAACGTCGATGCTTTTTGGGACATCCAGGAAACAGCGTGGTTTAGATGTCGGGTCTTTCTGCTGAAGCATGCTGTGTGACAAACGAGGTCGAATGCCGAAGCCGAGATGTGTGCATTCCTCGACGAGACCCAAAACGCGTCTGCGTAACTTGAGCATGCTTGGGCGTCGAGATTGGAAAATAACAATGGATTTCCCTTGCTGCTTGTTCGTCGTTTCTCTCATCAGTTCCCGACATTTTGCGATCTCAGCTATCAAGCTGATCAAAGTACGGACCATTTCTTCGTTTCCTGAAAAACACTTCTGGCGGCAAGCAAGGCTTGAAAGGTCCAGCCAAAATGAGGACCCAAAGTCTCATTGCAATGGTTATTGCATCTATGCTCGTATTGGTCACAGCCACGCCACCGAACCAAATCTTCGTGAGTCTGTGCCTTATGCGGTGTCCTTACGACTGGGAGCCTCTGTTCGTCTTCTCACACCTTCGCAGGATCGTCAAGCTGGAAGATTCCAATGCTATGTCATTACATGCAATGCTGGTCCTGTCGGCGACGCTCAATGCGTACGAGAAGGTTGCGGATTCTGTGCGCCCAGAAAGAATACTTGTGCCGATGCAACAAGTTCCTCTTCCAGGCTGTCGGCTTCGCCCACCAGTACTTCTCACTCCAAGCCGCATCGGACCAGATCCCCTATCAGGACGAATTGGATGCCGAAACCCACGGGTGTGAGAAATGGCACTTGCCATGACAAGCTGTGAGGGTTGCGTGTTGGAGCGGTGTGGCAACGTGCGGACTGGGAGCGCAGTGTAAGATCTTGCGGGACCTTGCTGAGGCATAGTGCTGTGAAGAGGTATCTAGCACAGGATAATCGAAATTCAGTCCGGAAGGTCCGGGATCACACCTGGGACATTCACGTGAGGGAGCTGAAAAGCGTAGTCTCGGAACATTCCCATGCTGTGTGAGGCATTGTACTTCTGCTTTGCTGCCGCTGGGTGAGACACACCTGGTGGTTGTCTGACTTGGTTCGACTGTCTGGGGAGAGTGCCTCGCTGTCCCGAAACTATGGAGCCAGAGAGTTTGCTCTTTCCGCTAAAAGATAGGTTCCCAAATGGTCCGGATGAACTCCAAGCAGAGGACTTCCGACCAGATGACAGTGCCACACTGGCGCCTGTGGTAAACTGGCCTATGAAGTTCAAGCTGACCGGGATCGTGGCTGAGAGCAGTGAATAGCAGAGGCCGGCCTGCTGCCAAACGACGACGTCTGCAAGTAAAGGTGCCTCTTCGACCTTGCCTTTGTATGCTCGGTTGTACGCAAGATAGTGCATGACGGCGAAAACGATGCAGCTGTACTTCAAATCAGCCAGGCTCGTTGGCAGATGACGATGATGCATACCCAAGTCGGAAACTGAAAGCCAAAAACACCTTTATTTTCTTTCCAAGGTCCATGCGAAGATTGATACACAATATCGCGGGAAGAGCAGCGATCCAAGTTTCGATTAGGCACGCAGCAACAGTAATTGTCAGCCAGCGCCCCTCATGACCTGGGCACACCTGTTCGCCTTGCTCCATCTGAACTCGTGCTGGCTCGCAGCGTATAGAAGTGGCCAGTGTAGATGCCACACCCCAGGCTACCACCGCCACTGTTACGGAAGTGCAGGCCATAGATGCGAGCCGACTTTGCAGATTCGAAAAGATCCGTAGGATCAAGAGTGTGATCGATAGCTTGGATAGCGTGAGTGCGATGAGGAAAATGACCTGACTCGCTCTGTATGCCTGTTGCGCTGTCAGTGCGCGTTGACCACAGTCGCCGAATTACGACTTGCCGTATTTACTGCATCCTGATCTGACTCACTGAGAAGTCCCAGGCTGGAGCCAACGCCATGTCGCGCGGCGTACATGGTCACGGTGTACTCTCCGCAGGCCAGTATCGTGGCTGCCAGAATCATATTGTCCTCGATAGCCCATGAGGCGATCCTGAAATATACGCGTGTTCCTAAGGTGAGGCAGGAGTAGATGATGGCGAGAATTGTCAGAACCCAGACCGACGCACTTCTGTCCGATGCTGTGTTGACCGCAAACCGGGTCATTTTACGCCTGCCTTTCTCGGTGGCTGCATTGCACTCCGATCTCTCTTCCCTATTCAGCAGGCGTCAGTGTCTTCGAATGCTCCTCGTTCATGGTGAAGGCTGCAGGACAGATGGAAGCAATTCTCAACCAGATGTGTTTCGACGTTGATGATGCATTGACAACGGGTTCGTATTCACAAACTCTAATCACATCGTCAACACCCATGAAGGCTGACGTGCCGACTTTCTTCCGTTGTCCATCAACTGGAAACATCTCAGCAAAGGTCATGTTAAGGTTCTGCCCGAGGCCTGGGGTGCTGGATCGTAAGCCATAGGGCACATGAGATCGGACGAGGTCCGGTGGTCCGGCTGCGTGCGACGAACCGAGAGCACAGGGGTGTGAAGGTGAGCACCATGGAATCGATGTCTGCTGCCGACCACGGTAACACGTGTGAGCGGATGTATTGCTCCGCTCTCTGCGAATCCTCGGGGCCGACCCGTCTCTACTCAGCACGAAAACTTCGACTGACGTTACGGCAGAGGGGAGTAACCCTTCAGTTCCCGACATATAATCGCTGTGCTGCAAAACTTCGCTGGTGGCCTCGGATACCGAGTGTTCGCAGGCGAGAGATGGCGACACAGTCGCATGCCAGCCAGGAAGCCGCTGCCAGTGGAAGTGATCCAGATATCATCCAGCCTGTGGGAATTCTGGAAGGTCTTGACCCTTTGCCGCCAATCCTCGGGTCAACGAGATTCAAGAACACTTATCATGACAACCGCGACATGCATCGTATGAACAAGAAGCAGGAGCTCCGCCGCAATTTTCGATTCCTCTCCATATTTGGGTACTCCTTGATATTGGTGAATGGATGGGTTCTTGCTCTCCCGGGTGCATCTTCCATTTTGACGAATGGAGGCAGTGCCGGCGGTATTTGGGGTTACGTTATCGTCATCTTCGGCATGTCGTTGACTACGCTATCGATGGCTGAGATGGCGTCCATGGCGCCTTGTGCTGGCGGACAGTACCATTGTAAGTACAGATTGGACTTCTGCCTGCCCGGATCACTGAAAATTGCAGGGGTGTCCGAGTTCGCGCCGAAGCACTGTCAGAAGTTCCTGTCGTATCTTACTGGTTGGCTTTGTGTATGTATTTGCCATCTTGGTAGCTTGCTTCGCTGACTCCAGCCCGTGTCCAGGTCCTGGGCTGGCAGATGGCCTTATGTTCGACGGCATACAGTGGTGCGCTGGCAGTGCAGGGCATCATCAGCCTCGAGGTCCCGACTTACGTCCAGCAACTCTGGCAAGGAGTGCTTCTCACGATTGCGATCGTACTGAGCACACTCGCTTTCAGTAAGATTTGATTTCAGCGAAGATCGCTTGCAGTCGCTGACCGCACCATGCAGATACAGTGCTGCTTCGGAAATTGCCAAGTTTCGAAGGCGCCATGTTTGTCATTTACGTCTTTGCGTATATCGCTGTCTTGACAGTGTTGTGGTCAGTCTAGCAGTCGAAATCAGCCTCGAGATCATGGCGAGAGGCTGCGCCACTTGTAGACAATATGCTGATGGTTTCCAGGGTAATGGGTGATAGAGCACCGGCTCGAGCAACCTTCACTGAGTTCACCGACTACTCCGGCTGGGGTAGTGACGGCGTTGCAATGTGGATTGGCACGAGTGGAGCGAGTGGTGCTTTCCTCGGCTCGGTAGGTTCGCTGCTGCTACAATACCAAAGATTCTTCCCGGCTCATGCCAGATCGTAGGACAGCGCAGCCCATCTCGCAGAGGAACTGCAAGATGCTGCCTGGGTTCTGCCGCGAAGCATGGTGGCCACTGCGGTGTTCAACTATGTCTCCTGCTTATTCATGGTCATCAGTATGTCTGACCTGCGAATTTCCGGAAGTGAGGAGAGCTGACTTTGCTCCAGCATATCTGACTGTCAGGGGTGAGACGACCCACGAACTGTTGAATGCCGGCCATCCTGCCTACGTAGAAATCTTTATGAACGCCACGCAATCGAGAGGAGGGGCAACGACACTTACTACGATAGTCTTCATCCTCCTGCTGTTTGGCATCATCAACATGGTCACCACCACTTCTCGCCAACTCTACGCCTTTGCTCGCGATCGAGGGCTGCCCTTCAGCGCGTTCCTTTCGCACGTGCGGCCGGGCTGGGACATTCCTCTCAATGCCGTAACTGTCACACTAGGATTCTCAGTAAGCTGCTCCTTAGGCTATGGACATTTTGCAGAACTGATTTTGTGCGCAAGATCTTGTCCATCTTCATCGTTCTCGGCTCGCCAGCCGCATTCCGGACGCTTGGAACACTCTGTCAGTCTGCACTTTTTACCAGCTACATGATCGTGATTGGATGCATAATCCACAGGAGGGTAACTGGTGGAGAGCTACCACCAACGCGATTCAGTCTCGGCAAAGCAAGCTTGGCTGTGAATGTGATGTCTGTCGGGTATTTGGCTGTACAGATTGTCTTTATCTTCTTTCCAAGCACTCCACACCCGACAGCAGCATACTCCAACTGGGCCGTCGTGGTCTTTGCAGGCACAGTGATCATTGCAATATCCTGGTATCATTACCGCGGGAGGAAAGAGTACCGAGCTCCGGCAGATAGTATACGTCGGGCTTCGAGAGAATTGTGGTAGCGTTGCTCTTTCAGGGTTCCATGATCTCAGCCCAGGGTTTCGGTTGCGTCGCATTCTTCAGGTCTGACCACTTCGGTGCCGGTACGCTCAAGATTCTGCAGAGATCCTTTCGTCTCTTCCTGAAGTCGTTATACAACTCCTTCCAGATTTCGCGTTCTCGGCAAGTGCCCTGGTTTTTGCCGCCGCAGTCAGGCTGCATTTCGCTGACGCCCTCATGCGGCCACATGACCCATGGTTTCGGCAGTGGCCAGTCGCTGAAATGTATGAGCTTCGCCTCTTGATATGCCCGATCCGCATCCCATCCATATTTGGAGGGATATGAGTCTCGTGGAGCGTTGATAGTGCCCAGATAAGCTGAATGATCGTGGTTCCTGAACTCGGCAGAAAGCATGGCGTATGGGCGGTGCGGAAGAACCATTGCACTGCCTCCAAAACGGTGATTGAGAAGATCCATGTCATAATTCCTACCAGTCTGAAAGCCCGGCTTCAATTTCCATGACATGAGAATGTCAATAAAGTTTTTGAGCTCGAAAGGGTTCGGCTCGATCAGCATTAGCAAGCTGGTCAACTGCCAGTGATTGGGTCTGCCCTCAGACCAATAAGCCCTAGGCATGGCAACTGGAGTGCTTGGGAGGAGGAATAGCTCGTCCAAGTTCTGCAAAAGTGTGCTGTCACTGTCAATATGCAGCACGCGATCGTACTCAACAAGATCGAAGGCCCGCAACTTCGTGATCGATGAGTCCCACGTACTCGGAGCGTTCAATGTTCCGGGAGAAGATTCACCGTCGACATCCAGTACTGAGATAGGCTTCAATTTGGCTTTGAATATCTTCTCCGCCCGAATGAGGAGTTGACTGTTGCGGTCTTGAGGCGAGTCGTCGACTTTGTCCCATTGCTTCGGATACATCAGAATTCGATCTGCTTTGCTGCCATGCCGCTTCAGAGCATCAAAGACCATGTAGGCTGCACAGCGTCAGTTCCGATCTCAGGATATCAAAGGTGTTAGTACCATTGCAGAGGCTGTGATTGTCTGTCACGTATCTAGGGTGGTGTTAGTCGGAATATTGGTCATCCAGCGATCTGCTTGCCGGCTTACTGCACATATGCATATCTGCTCCAATCAATGGGCTTTGGGGCAGGTTCACCAGTCGTTCCCAAGAAGTAGTATAGCAGGCAGACCAGAAACAATGCTGCCGAGAGCAGCGTCCGATATTGCCTGAATGCCCGATTGCCATAGAACTTCAAGGCGCCAAGAAGCCCTTTCTCCCGCGGCATCTCACGGCGCGGCCGTTTTGGATTGCCCCAGTCATCGTACTCGTCGCCCATAATCTGCTGGCCGTGTGATAATAAGAAGTGTTGTTCATGTTGTCGCTGGCGATGCAGGCAGGATCCATCATCGTCGGTGGTCGGAACACGGAAGTTCCAGCCCCTGGGAAACACGTCATCATCCGCTTGACATTTCACTCTTCACCTCAGTCTCTTTCCTCTCATCACCACTGATGGGCTATTTCGCAGACACGAAAACAGGCGTGCCTAAGCATGCACGATCTTATTCACTCGAGCAATTCTGCTCCCGGACGGGTGGCAACTGCGCGTCAAGCGAGAGTAACACGGAAGCAAGGCGGCTACGCGCTTTCGCTCAACAAAAAGCATGCAGCTGTACAACGCTATTGTCTGCAAGGGTGTAATATGCCTGAGACGGTCTTGAACACAGCCGGGACAGCGTGTACACGCGTTGAGGGTTTATGACTGCCGCCACCGCGTGCCACTGACCTTTCGTTCAATCAGTATGGCACAATTCGTCCTTGCGAGGGCTACGCCCAACGACATGGCGGAACTGGTTCAGGTGCAGTATGAGGCGTTCAAGCCCAAATACGTTCGAGAGCTATTCATGGGCTGCAGAGACACCGATGATCTACCAAAACTTGCGAAAAAGTATGCCGAGGACATGGCCCAGGATCCAACCGATCTCTGGATCAAGGTCACTGATTTGACCACTGGGGAAATTGTGGCAGCAAGCAATTGGAGGCTATCTCTTGCATCATCGAACGTGCAGCCTCGCGGAATAGATGAGCCGATGCCATGGGTTGACGGCGAGCTTGCTGCTGAGGCCAAAGAGATCATGGAACCAATGAACAAAACGAGAATCGAGAACAACGCAGAGCCGTTCATTCGTATGTGGGCTAAGATTCCGAGCGAAGTAATCTGACACGAGGGACAGATCTCCACATTCTGTTTACATCGCCGGAACACGTTCGCCGCGGCATCGGGAGCATGATGATGCGATGGGGTTGTGAGCTGGCCGATCTACTGTTCATACCGGCCTGGATTGAGGCCAGTGCTGAAGGCAATTTCTTGTATAAGAGGTTTGGCTTTTACGATCAACAGCAGCTCACACATAAAGGTATTGTAAACCTCGAATGTTCGCGCAAGGCCACCCACTGATCAATTCACAGGTGAAGTAACGGGCACATGCATGAGGCGCGATGCTCGCTCCAATGCTGGTGTTGTGAGTCCTGCAAATCGACAGGAAGGCGGCATCGACTTTGGAGTGCTTTAAGTGAGCGAGAAATTCGACAATGACGGCGCGACCGAATCCGATGACCAGCAGTACCGGTCTGTCAACAATGTCCACTATGTTCAACTGTCGCATATCGCGGGAATGGTCTATCCTTCCGGTTGCATGGAGCCACGTCACCACTCTAACTACACCCCACCATACTTCTGCGTTGACTCGAGGTCAGTCGCCTCAGAGAGTGGCGCGACCACAGAGATGCATACTGTACAATACAATTATTCACAGCCACGACATGTCTACTCGTCCCTTCTAATATTTACTACAGGTCCCTTGTATTTCTTTCTTCCGCGCAAGGCGTAATCTATCGCCGCAATCGCGAATACTCCCGCGAACATGACCACAGACCAGTTCATTGTGGTAGCTGTGACCTCTGCGAAGACCGGGAAGAAGCTCATGATTGCAGTGAAGCAGACGTAAAGAAACGCGATCACATTAATGGGCAGTCCGAAAATTCCCAGCCACCACCTGGCATGCGGAAGTGGCTCACGCCGAAGCCTCTTGCTCAGAATCGATCCGATCGACACCGCATATGAGAAGCTTGTGGCCGAAGTTAGCAAGCCCACAATGCTGTTGAACGCAGTGCTGCTTCCAATGTTGATCAGGGCCAGGATGACCAGGATCGAAAGGGAGAACAAGATCGCGTTCAATGGGATTGGCGTGCCGATTGTCACAACTTTGCGGAACCATCCCGAAAATGGAAGGCCTCCATCTCTCGACAGTGCCCAGGCTTGTCGAGATGCTGCCGCCATAGCATTGAGCGATGTGCAAATCGTAAGCACGAGTGGTATGCATGCCATTGCTGTCGCTCCAGCTCTGCTGCCTGTCCCTGCATAGAAGACATCGACGAACGGGAATATGGAAGTGGACCCGACCACCGACTCCACGTCCGTAATGCAGAGGACGAAAGAAATGATGGCGACGAATCCAAAGGCCCCGTTGAGCAGGATCGTGGTCAGCATCATCCTTGGCACGGCGAGCGAGGCATTCTTGACTTCTTCCGCGAGATGGACGGGTGCATCACTGCCAACGAACGCCGCGCCCGCCGTGAGCTGGCCAACGATACAGGCCGTTCCGACTGAAGGCCAGCCACCGAAGTTGGAGAATTGTGTGAAGGCTTCCTTTGTTGATGCCTTTGGTGCAAGCACCCATAATGGCACGTAAACGCTGAAGAATCCAAATATCGTGAGGCAGAGCACGATGCCCTCCAGCAATGGCAACCGCTTGGCGCCAAACGTATTGAAGAAAGTTCCGAAAAGTCCGAGTCCGATCATGAGCAAGGTCACTTGCCATCGAGTGTATACGAATCCGGTGTTGAAAGCCACAAGCTCCAGCATGAGAACGCTGCTCACATACACCGTTCCCGCTATCGCAGCTTGCCAGCCCAAGGCGCTCAGCCAGCCAACGCAGTAGCTCAAGAACTTTTGCTGAGAGGGTGGCGCGAATTCGGAAACCCCTACAATTCTCAGTGATCTGGACGAGCAGATGTCAAGCTCAGACTTACAGTGGTATTGGCCGCCACTGGTAGGGCTCATGGAGGCCATTTCTGCCAAGCTGCACACCAAGGTGATGGTGAACATCCAGCATCCAAAGTACACCCAGATCGTTCCAGCTAGGCCGCCATTGATAAGCGAGAAGGTGGAATTTGTGGTCATGGCGACCCAAGTGCCCATCGTCACAGTGGCGAGGCCGAGGATAGAGAATGATGTGAACGATCTGCGAAGCTCCTGATCCCGTCCGAGTCGTCGCATATCAGAGACATCCTGATGAACACCGATCTTGCTGTTATTCCCATTGCCGAAATCGCAATCGACGAAGCCTTCTTGCTGTATAGCCTTCTCGTGCTCCATGATGCGTGACCTGTGCTCACTTGGTGCACCGGCAGGTCTTGCAGATAATCGAATTCCTGGAAACTGGGCCTCGAAGGACGGACTTGTGCCATGGTGCGGGAGAAGCTTTTAACGATCACAACAACGTGGTGTCCCGCCCACGTTACAGCTTGAACGCCACGTCGCTTGCAAATCGCACCTCTGTTCATGTTGTGTAACTCAGGCCGCTACTGCGGCAACGAGAAATTCCGGACTTAAAACTCCTTGCTTCGGTGCTGCATTAGACACCTACGAACGGAAAGCCGACCGAGGATATCAGTGCAACACCTTTTCGCTCGCTAATGCACCGTACCTCCCAGAAGAGCCACTGCATGAATTGTGCCTAATTGCTTCGAATGGTTCGATTGCAGATGCGTAGCACCCCGCAAGGAGTGTGCTTCAATTTGAAAACTGTGACGAAATGGACCTCAATCGCCTTCTCCGAAGGTTGCAACCAGCCCAGCCGCGTGTAGTGGTGTGGGACCACAGCATCGGAATGCGTCGCAACCTCAAATCTCTTGTACTTGATTAACATAGCGTCTCGACAATGCCGTCTGAAGATCAACACAGGATGCGATGGCAGACACCTCACCGGCGACTCTGGAGGTCAGTTCCGCCGTTACGGAAGACGACCACGGAGCTCAGATCGTGATTGTGGCGATACTCGGGCTTATAGCGAGCGTAGGTGTGTTGGCCAACCGACTACTACTGCGATGGCCTTGGAAGGAGCGGTTTGGTGTGGACGATTTCGTCTGTGTGGCGGCGACGGTACGCACAGGTATCTCGCATTGTGATGGCAAGCTTCATAGCTGACATTCGAAGCTGGTGGCCACGGCACAGACGGGGACACTACTCAGTGCGGTGGCTTGGGGTCTCGGAGAAAGATCGCGACTTCTAACACCACGAGAGTTGGATGTTGTTGACAAGGTGAGTTCAGTGGCTTCGGTGGCGACAATCTACCAATGCTAAAATGTTTTGCAGCTTGTGTACACGTCGAGTATCCTCTTCGTGCTGGCTTTATGCTTGAGTAAGCTTGCAGTGGGCTTTCTCTTCAATCGTCTATCATCGCGAGCAGCTGCGAAAGCAATTATCCACGCCATCGTCATATATGGCGTTGCTGGCATCTTGATCGTTGCTGTCGATCGAAACATGGCCGAACCTTGGAAAATTGGGAGCACATCGCGCGACTCTTTTCTCGCAAGATGGGCTACAGTGGAGGCACTGGGCATGGTGCTAGATGTGGTCATGATCGTATACCCAGCTGTTTTGGTGCGCGGCCTGAAGATGAGCCGGAGCACAAAGATCGCAGTCTTCCTCGGATTCGCCTCGCGCTTTCCAGTTCTCGTCTTCGCCGGCCTACGAATCGCCTACATCGGCAACATGGACTTCGACGATTTATCGTTCTCTTGTGTCGTGACAATCATACTTGGACTATCGGAGATGCACTGCAATGTTGTTGCGGCAACTATCCCTTGTCTCCGAATCTTCCTGAAGGGCTGGAATACGAGCTTCATGAATACAACCTTAAAAGAGATGGATCCGGAGGCATATACCAGACACTCATCCGTGGCGTCTCCAAGAAGCTGGCGCACTCTGCGCAAGTCGAAAGCATCAAGCTCTTCGCAGAGCAAAAGACGCCAGAGCTCCTACGGAGGAGTATGGGACGGAGCTACGAGCCGAATAGAATCGAACATCTCGTCGGAACACATCACTGGCAATCGACAGATCAGCGCTGGCTCCCGATCTATCACCGTGCAGCGTTCGATAGATGTCGACATCAAGTGAGCATCCATCGCTGTTTTCCGTCCGACGATCAGAGAAGCACGACGACAGGACTGACAAACAAATCCGAGAGTAATCATTGACAAGTCGAGACGACATTCTGTCGAAGTCTGCCGGCTATCCCAGTCACTGCGTCCCGTCCCATTTGCGAAGCCGCATGGAATCTGCGGAGACCTCTTTCAATTTAGATCGACTACCCAGCAAAGACAGTCGCATGACAACGAACTGGAGCGGTCCAGAAGCCAAGAGCAGGGATGATACGACAGCATACTTTACTTTAACTTCAGCTCCAAGCTTCGCCAATAAGCTCTGAAGTTTGCCCTGAAGATTGCGCAGAGCCTTGGTTTCTACGCGCTCCTGAAAGCAGTCACGGGCTGTATGGGCCTGGTATATTTGGCTGTGGCAATTTCGTCTTTCCTGCAAGAGGCAGTGCCGGAGGTCCCGCTCCAATGCAGCAACGGCAAGCTCATGGCATGCATGCTGGGGATGTGATGAGTGTGTAGGGCAAGGACCTCTCCACAGTTGGCACATAGGAAGTGGAACGCCTGCGGTCTGGTCCTCCTCTCTCTTCGCCTCGCATCTCATACTCACCAACAGTCACTCGTTATCTTTTCTCAGGCAAAGCCACAATCAGCAATCATGCAGTTCACACAACTCGCTCTCGTTGTTGCGTCCATGGCGGCCAGCAGCATGGCCCAATACATTCCCCGCTCTTGCAATGAGATCTTCGGCAACTCTGGCTATGTATGAAGCACATGGCACACGTAGTGTCGAAGTGTATCTAACCTGGCGGCAACAGATCTGTAACCGCGACGGCTCTGAAGTACAATACTGCGACTTCAATTCAAGCCCCGTCCAGGTCACAAGCGAATACTGCGGCTTCAACGATTGCTGGCAGTCCCAAGGCCAGGGAGTCAAGAACGACCCGAATGAATTGTCCTGCTACTATGGCCGACAATACAACCCAGCCAACCGAGCCCGTGGCCCCACTTCATGCGAACAAGTCAAGGGCTTCGGCTACATCTGCAGTCCTGACTATCGCACACTCGTGAGTGGCACCCGAATCTTTCAAGACCTGCTGAGTAGCTAACATTTGACTCCCAGCAATTCTGCGGAGGTGGTGGAGGCAGATTCAACAGATTCGGCCCCCCTCAGCCTCAGGACTGGAACTATTGCGGCGAGCCAACCTGTTTCGCAAGCAGCACTGGCAGTCAAGGAGAATGCATTCAGCCACAATTCAACAACTTTGGCCGTGGACGCAACTGAGATTCTCCCGGATAATGTGTATAGAGTAGTGGCGGCGGTAGAGCAAGTTCTATTCAGTGAGATAAAGAGTTACGAATGTATTGATTGATGTTGGCTTTGCGCTGCATGTTGTTGGTCTTTGTCCGATGTGCTGCCGAAAGCGTCCAGGCTGGCGCTACAACCGGGATTTTGAGAATTAAAGTTGCTATCAATACCCCGGGATCTCGAACAAGGACAGCGCGGTCAATGCGAGCCTGGAGAAATGACCTGCTGTCATCTTGCTGGGCTATGTCTGTACACGATACTCCCATACTTTTGGGGAGCGGCGGAAGCACAGAATGGTCAACAAGGCCAGCGAAACGCATCGGGATGCGAGATATAAACCTCTCCCGCAAGTGAATACTGCTGTTTCTCAGTCATAGGGGCTAATGATGAGGCAGTAGAGATGCGGCAGCAGATGTTGAGCTCGATCCGCTCAACGCCGATGGAGCTGAAAGCGTGGACTTGAGCCTGGACGAAGACGAGTATGCTGGAGCCTCGAGCCGGCTCGTCAACGACAAGTCCCGATATGACAAGCTCGACGATGATTATGGCGGAGCCGCCATGATGGAAGGCGTGGTCGCTGTGTGGCGCAAATGGGACAAGTATTTGTTTGTCGCTGGACTTGCATTACTGGTCTTGACATTGCAAGTCTTTCCATCTGAACTGCCTCGTGCCGTACAAAACCCTAACATCCAGCAGTGAGTTCGACATGTCCATAACTTCTTCTTACGAGACCTATGCGCTCTCTGACTTCATGGATCTGTCCATGCAGGGCACACTGGTACGTGAAAGTACAGTTTACCAAGCTGCCTTAATACTTGCTGACTGTGCACCCATCATCAGGATGTGATCGGAGCCATAATCTCAGCAGGCGTCAAGATCCCGATCGCAAAGATTTCTGACGTGATTGGAAGAAGTGAAACCTATATGCTAATGCTGCTCTTCCTAGTGGCATCATATGTCCTACACGCCTCCGCTCCAGGATTCAACACATATCTGATCGGGTCCATTTTCTTCACAGTTGGCCAGGCCGGAATTGCGTTGACGAACATGATCGTTGTCTCGGATGTCACATCGATGCGAAGCAGGACTCTCGCGATAAATTTGCTTTACAGCCCTTTTGTGGTCGTCACCTGGGCATCCGGAATCATCGTCGATCAAGTCAAAAATGGAATTGGTTGGCGCTGGGGCTACGGCATGTTTGTCTTCATCACCCCCATCGGCGGAAGCTTGCTTGTAGCGATTTTGCTATCTTTGCAGCGTAAGGCCAGACGAGCTGGATATGCAACTTCAAGGAAAATGTCCTTCTCAGAATTCTGCTCTCGAATCGACGTCGGAGGCTCATTGCTAATATCGACTGGAGCCGCTCTTGTTCTGCTTCCTGTCACTCTGGCCGCGCAAAGCGCTGATCACTGGAACTCAGCTTGGGTCAAGATTCTGATCATTACTGGCATCGTACTCCTGGTGCTGGTTGTGCCATACGAAGCGCTGGTAGCACGACATCCTGTCTTGCCACTGAGATACTTGCGAATCAGCCCAATCACCATTGCATTTGTCGGCTATGCCATCGACGGTTGCGGCTACAAAATTACGCACACGTATCTGGTTCCATGGTCCATCGCAGCCCACAACTTCTCAGCTCGCAACGCGATGTATCTTTCTTCTATTCACAGCGTGACCACGCTTCTCACAGGCATCTGCGTCGGGTGGCTTGTCTACCGCACGAGATCATACAAGTGGGTATGTGTGATTGGCTCAGTAATCCGACTTGTTGGCTACGGCTTGATGGTCCGGATCCGCACGAACGACAGCACGACGCTCGAGCTTTTCGCAGTGCAGATGCTTCAAGGCCTCGGAAGCGGCTGCCTCGAGACCACAATGTTTGTAGCCGCTCAAATCCCCGTCTCCCACGGAGAGCTTGCTGGAGTGACGGCTCTCATCGCTATGTCGGGACATATGGGCAGCGGAATCGGTTCTGCAACCGCAGGTGGTATCTATACGACGTCCATGAAAGAACGATTGAGCTCTCGTCTGGGTGCAAATGCCAAACCAGGAGAAATTGACAGCCTTTACGATTCGATCACGGGGACTTTGCCGGCATGGGGATCTCAAGACCGGCAGGCTGTTGCAGCTGCGGTGAGTAATTGGCCGAAAAGTCTGTTCGACATGCTAATATTGTGGGCAGTATTCGGATGTCATGGGATATATGACAGTCGTTGCCCTATGGGTAGCAGCTCCTGTCGTGATTCTTGCGCTGCTGATGCCGAACAACAAGTTGGGGTAAGTTCGCATCCTTTCGTTGTTCAGATCTCCGCTGATGATTGCACAGTGATGGCAACAATCTCCAAGAAGCCGAAGGCGAGAAGGTGGAAAGCGACAAAGAACCTCTCGCTCCTGATGCGATGAGATTCGACTGAGACAGCAACCCTTTCAGCAACAAGCTGATGATGTCCAAACAAGCCAGTTGTCATAATTTGGACCAAGCTAGTAGATAGATAGATAATTCTTATACGCTGGTCTACCTCTTTTAACTAGAGTAAGCAGCACGCTCTATATTTTTCGTAGGTGGAAAAGCTCTCGTACTAGTACTCCGGTAGAAAAACCTCTTTATATCTTTATGTTTTATAGTAAGCTCT